AATAATAATAATAATAATAATAATAATAATAATAATAATAATAATAAAATTCTAACTGGCCCCACCCCTATCTATTCTCTGCCTCCCGAGTCCCAGCTGATCGGGAGGAAATGGGGAGTGGAGTGGGAATGGAGATTTTGCAGTATCCTTCCCCTGGAGGGGGGTGGGAATGGAGATTTTACAGTATCCTTCCCCTGGATTGAGGAGGGAATGGAGATTTTACAGTATCCTTCCCCTGGATTGGGGAGGGAATGGAGATTTTACAAAAAATTTTACAAAAAACCACCTTACTCAGAACAGCTTACATTCTCCAATGATACCTTAACAGTTCCTAGGTCCTTGGTTAGGACTCGAGCTGCTGAGTTATTAACCAGCCTCAAAGGCTGTGAATCTCACTAAAGATTAACCAATAATAATAAAATAAATAAATATTTCGACCTGGCCATCAAAACTACACGGCTATGGATGAAACATGTAACAGTGATACCCATTGTCATCATGGATATGTCCAAGAATTTTACAAAACCCATCAAGAAATTGCAGCTTCCTGCAGTAACACCAGCGGAATTGCAAAAAAACTGCGCTACTCAGAACATTGTACATCTTAAGAAGGTACTTGGTTGATACCTAGGACGCTGGCAGCAACCCGTATCAACCATTATTAGCACCAGTCAATGGTATTTGTGATGCATTTTTGAATGTTCAGTTGACTGAGTTTCATGTTTTAATGAATAAAAGAGATAATATTAATATTTGCTTATCCATATTAATATACCTTCATTGTATAGTTAATCATTCTCTTAAACTTTTGAGTTTCTAGCTTCTGTTTCTGTCCATTAACGATTGATAAAACAAATATGTTAAAAAATATTCTGTTTCTTCCTTCTCCTTTATTTTTAGTGCTAATCTGTCCATTTCTGCACATTCTAATATTTTTCTAATTATATTTTCATCTGTAGAGATCTCTTCATTTTTCCTTTGTTGTGCAAAAGCAATTCTCGCTGCTGTTAACACATGTGAAATTAAATATATATTCCCTTTATTGTGCTTTTCTGGTAAAATACCCAACAAAAACATTTCTGATATTAAATCTATATTTTGCTTTATCATTTTTTTTTCTAGCCATGTATGTATTTTTGTGCAATTTTTTTTTATTTTTATTTTTTTGCCTTTGGACATGCCCACCACAAGTACTGATTATTCTTAGCAGGTATGACAGAGGTGGGTTTCAGCAGGTTCTGACCAGTTCTGGAGAACCGGTAGCGGAAATTTTGAGTAGTTCGGAGAACCGGTAGTAAAAATTCTAACTGGCCCCGCCCCTATCTATTCTCTGCCTCCCGAGTCCCAGCTGATCGGGAGGAAATGGGGAGTGGAGTGGGAATGGAGATTTTGCAGTATCCTTCCCCTGGAGGGAGGTGGGAATGGAGATTTTACAGTATCCTTCCCCTGGATTGGGGAGGGAATGGAGATTTTACAATATCCTTCCCCTGGATTGGGGAGGGAATGGAGATTTTACAGTATCCTTCTCCTGGAGTGGGGTGGGAATGCAGATTTTATAGTATCCTTCCCCTGCCATGCCCACCAAGCCATGCCCACCAAGCCACGCCCACAGAACCGGTAGTAAAAAATTTTGAAACCCACCACTGAGGTATGAGTATTCTTGGCAAACTGGCACTCTGTTAAGAAGTCTGCAGGGAGGCCGAAGTGCTCCAGGGAAGCCCTCCCAGAAGATTGGGGGCTGGGGGGGGGGTTGGATCTGATTTAAAACAAGCTGTCCAAATATTTTAAGTTCATGATTTTGCAAGCACTTACTCCCGCCCCGTATGTTTCTTTTCATTAAAACGAAAGGAAGAAAAATCTCCCTGAACTGGAGGCATGTCGAAGTGGCAAACATCCTTTCTGTGCAAATGTTTAATCCCCAATAAAAGGCTTCCAGAGATTTGCATGCGAAAACAGTGCCTCTCCCCCTACCTGGATAACGGAGCTCATGTTAAGCCTGCTTAAGAGTTTATCAGGGTTTACTTGCTGAGCCAGCCCCAGATGTAAGGTGGGAGGCCTGTCAAATTCTTTCCTTCTTTTACACGGTTTTTCTTAATTGGCCCTTCCAGGATCTTAAAACCTTTGGGTCTAACTCTGCCTTCTGTGTCTGCAGAAATTAAATCTTTTCTGCTACTGGACATGACAGCCGTTCCAGATTTAAAACGTACGATTTAATGCATACACTCCAGGGGTGGGCTGCTGGAGGTTAGCTAAGATTCTTGTGCAATTCGGAGAACCCCCAAATCCCACTCCTGGCTGGCCCCGTCCACCCCACCTCGCCCCTCCCAGGAGTCCCCACACGGCCTGTTTTGGATGCAGGTAAGTGTAAGGTGCGCACAGAGGCTCTGGAAAGGCAAAAAACGGGCTTACCCGAAGTTCAAGAAGCGTTAGGGCCTCCGGAGCCTGGGGAGGCCGTTTTCACCCTCCTGGAGGCTCGAGGAAAGCCTCCGGAGCCCGGGGAGGGTCAAAACGCACCACCACCCCACCATGGTGCAGGAGGCTTACTAGTAAGGTGATCAGTCGTCCTCCTTTAGGGAGGACAGTCCTTCTTTTGTAAGTTCTGTCCTCTCTCGAAAAGTGTCCTCCTACATGTCCTCCTTTTCGATATTTGAAGACTAATCTGTAAATCTCTGTATTCAATCAATGCCGATCCGATCCGTTGCGTGTGATGTGACATATTTGTATTTGACATGATGATTCGTCAAGGTGGAAACTAATCAAGGAGAGAAGCAACTCAGAACTAAGGAGAAATTTCCTGACAGTTAGAACAACTAATCAGTGGAAAAACTTGCCTCCAGAAGTTGTAAATGCTCCAACACTGGAAGTTTTTAAGAAGAGATTGGACAAGCATTTGTCTGAAGTGGTTTAGGGTTTCCTGCCTGGGCAGGGAGTTGGACTAGAAGACCTCCAAGGTCCCTTCCAACTCTGTTATTCTCTTCTCTTCTCTTCTCTTCTCTTCTCTTCTATTCTATTCTATTCTATTCTATTCTATTCTATTCTATTCTATTCTATTCTGTTACTTACCTGAAACATATTTTGGGTTATATTTTGGGTCTATTTATTTCTATTTCTATTTCTAAGGCTCAGTACAATGCGGCAAAACGCGTATGAGATGCATGCGCTCCGCACAGGAGAATTGTTTTGAGAGAGCACACCACGCGCAAGTGGCTTTGTTTACTTCTTACCGAAACACGACACGGCACACACGCACGCACGCACGCATTAGACTCATTGTTGCAATGAATAAAACATTTCTTTTATTTACGATTTTTTTCTCTTCAATTTATTTGTGTCCTCCTTCTCATTGTAAAAATGTTGGTCACCTTACAACTAGGCCACACCCACCATGGCCACGCCCACCCAACAACCGGGCAGAGAACCCCTTGCTAAAAAATTTTGAAGCCCCACCCCTGCATACACTTACATACACTATCTTTGTTTGTTCAAGAGCAAACCTCGACCTTCTGTCAGCATTCCAGCGCTGACATATGAAAAGGAGAGGAGAAGCTTGAACTTTTGCCTACTTAATTCCTTTGAAGATTCTGTTTCCTCGGAGATGGGAGGAGGGGGGGACATTCCTGTGATCTGACGGCGATGGGATGAGGAGTGTGGCTTGGAAGATAGCCAATGAGACGCAGAGAATTGAGGATCAGAAAGGGAGGCCTTGGGGGGCAAAGGTGACCCCGAAAGAGCCAGGGACAGATCACTATGCTCAATAAAGAGAAAATTTCCTCAAAGATCGGCAGTTTGGAAATTCATTTATTTTGAGATAGCATCAAAACCTGACACCTTCATGTTCCTCACTGTCTTTGTTGTTGCTCCTTAGATCGTAATTCCATAACTCTTCTGCTTGAATTCTTTCCAGGTTTTCGATGCCCGGGATTGTACCACGGCCCATGGGATGTTCAACTACATTTGCAACCATATCAAATATGCCACGAACAAAGGGAACCTCAGGTAGGCGTCTGTGTGAGTGCTTGTGTGTGTGCGTGTGTGTGCAAATGGCATGATGGCACTGGACCAAGGCCTGCTTTGTTATCTTACCTGAGCTGAGAAGCTCAGCAGAAAATGGAGCAACCCAAATTGGTCTGGTGGTTAAGACACTAGGCTAGAAAGCAGAAGAGAACATGAGTTCAACTCCCGCCATAGCCATGAAAGCTGACAGAGTGACTTTCGACCAATCACCAGGAGACTGTGAATTCTATAGTTACTGCTATCTACAGTTACTACAATAGTAGTAGCTGTGAGAGGGATCTTGGAGTCCTAGTAGACAACCACCTAAATATGAGCCAGCCGTGTGCGGCAGCTGCCAAAAAAGACAACACAGTTCTGAGATGCATCAACAGAGGGATAGAATCAAGACCACGTGACGTGTTAATACCACTTTTTAATGCCTTGGTAAGGCCACACTTGGAATACCGCATTCAGTTTTGGTCGCCATGATGTAAAAAAGATGTTGAGATTCTAGAAAGAGTGCAGAGAAGAGCAACCAAGAGGATTAGGGGGCTGGAGGCTAAAGCACATGAAAAATATGGTTGCAGGAACTGGGTATGTCTGGTTTAATGAAAAGAAGGACTAGGGGAGACATGATAGCATCTTCCAATATCTCAGGGGCTTCCACAAAGAAGAGGGAGTCAAGCTATTCTCCAAAGCACCTGAAGGCAGGACAAGAAGCAATGGGTGGAAACTGATCAAGGAGAGAAGCAACCTAGAACTAAGGAGAAATTTCCTGACAGTTGGAACAATTAATCAGTGGAACTCCTTGCCTCCAGAAGTTGTGGATGCTCCAACACTGGAAGTTTTTAAGAAGATGTTGGATAACCATTGGTCTGAAGTGGTGTAGGGTTTCCTGCCTCAGCAGGGGGTTGGACTAGAAGACCTCCAAGGTCCCTTCCAACTCTGTTATTCTATTCTATTCTATTCTATTCTATTCTATTCTATTCTATTCCATTCCATTCCATTCCATTCCATTCCATTCCCACCTTAGCCATGAAAGTAAGCTGGGTCATTTTGAGCCAATCCCCCCCTCTCTCTCTCTCCCTCCCTCACAGGGTTGTTGTTATGGGGAAAACAGGAGGAAGAAAGTGGGGTACTCATGTTTGCCACCTTAAGTTACTTGTAAAAATAATAAAGGCAGGGTGCAAACGAATAAAATAAAAAAATGAAATGAAAATCTATCCTTTCTAGTGGATTTTCCACTCGAATTGACAGCCTACAAAGGATTCCATAGGAGCTGTAGGTGCCTATAGAACAAGAGGTGGTAGCCTTACAGACCCATGGCTACCCGTGGCTTATACATATCCCCTTCTTTACCGCCTTCTCCCAAAGCATCTCCAGCAGAGTTGCTGAATTGCTATAATTGCTGTAAATTAGAGGCCGGCCTTCCTTTTATTTCAAGATGAAGAAGAAGAAGAAAAAATAGTATGGTAAGAGCTAAAATGAGCTTAACATTATTTGCAAAGAAAAACAAAAACAAAGGAACTCCGCCTTCAAGCGAAACGAATCCTTCCAGGAATACAGCTCCAATTATTTTGCAGAACCAAACAAGACCGTCTAAAACAGAGGTGTCCAACCCTGGCAACTTTAAGACCTGTGGACTTCCAACTCTTAAAATTCCTCAGCCAGCCATGCTTCAATTCTAGGAGTTGAAATCCACAGGTCTTGAACTTAACCAAGGTTGGACATGCCTGGTCTTAAAACATCCTCCATCGCAGAGAGAGTCAAATAATCTCTCGATACCTATTCTACAGCACTGCCAGGATACTCAAAGGTAGCAAATTTTAGCCCAGTTGAGTTTTTTTGGGGGGGGGGTGTATCCCATATTTACTTGCACATAAATGACCACGTGTCATGCCCCCATCGGAGTCTGAATCTGAGACGGAAGACGAACCGCTGACAGAGAGCGGGAGAGTGGCTCCGTTGGCTGTGGAGGAAACTGGGGAAGGCCAAAGTCAGGCTGGGCAAAGTAGGGGGGAGGTAGAACAAGGGAGAGGGGGTTCAGATGAAGACCAAGGCCCACCCCCTCCTCATCCTAGGGCGGACAGGGAAGAACGCAGAAGAGAGCAACGTGGGTTGCATGGCTTACGAGGAAGGAAAGGGCCCTGATTCCCTTCACAAGGCACACCTGGGGATGGAGTTTAAAGGAGAGGCAGTTGGCAGGGGTGTTTTTTGGGAACAAATGCTGAATTCATCCAGTGTTGAGAGTTGTGGCCTGCATTCCTGGCATTCCTCCTGACTGTTTGAATTAGTGTCGTGCTTCTGTGTGCTTATCTTGTCCTGTTGGAATTATTCTTCGCTTCTGGGACTCCTTATCTTGCCCTGCTGGAGTGATTGATTGCAGTCATTCTGCTTACAGCATTTGGACTGGAGTATCTGCAGCCAGAAGCTGCTGCAGGTTTGTGGGAGAGCTTTTCTCCAGGCCGGAGAGTAAACAGGATGTTGGGGCAAAGTTGGTGCCAATAAAGGGACTCATACTGGTTCTCTGGCTGTGTTGCCTTCGTGCCATGCCCCAGATCATCACACCACGGATAAACTGACCCTCAAATGTTTAACCAAAATGCTACGAAAAGTGGATTACCCACGGACAAACCTACTGCGAACATTAAACGATACAAACATTTTGAAGGTCAGCTTCTCTGTGGTGGGTGCATTTTATATATATATATATTGCTTAAAAATTTAAGAGTCTTCTTATCAGCAGATGTGCTAAGACATGAATATATATAAACAGAGATGTTTGCAGCCTCTGTATGCAACTCTTTTAGCTGCACTAAACAAACATTTAGGATCAATCCTACACTGAACTCTCCATGGTCCTGATAATGTGTGTTGCACCAGTGCCCAGGTGAGAGTTTTTGGCTGGCATCCTTGACGTTCTCAGCCAGGTCAGGCCACAGAGGAGATGAAGCAAAACAGACCTCAAGATCACGTGAAGTACTAGTACCACTTTATAAAGCCTTAGTAAGACCCTGGAATACCACAACCAATTTTGGTCACCGTACCATAAAAAAGAGGTTGAGACTTTGGAAAAAGTGCAGAGAACAGCAACTAAGACGATCAAAGGCCTGGAGATTAAAACCTAGGAAGAAGGGCTGCAGGATTTGGATTTGGCTAGTTAAAGAAAAGAAAAAATTAGGGGTGACATGATAGCCCTATTCCAGTATTTGAGGGGCTGCCACAAAGAAGAGGGGTGTGTGTGTGTCAAATTATTCTCCAAAGCACCGGAGGGCAGGACAAGTAATAATGGTTGGAAACTCATCAAGGAGAGAAGCAACCTGAAATTAAGGAGAAACTTCCTAACAGTGAGGACAATTAACCAGTGGAACAGCTGGCCTCCAGAAATCATGGGGGGGCTTCATCACTGGAGGGTTTTGGTTTTTTTTTTAATTTGATTTATATGCCGCCCTTCTCTGGAGACTCAGGGCGGCTTACAATGCGTTAAGCAATAGCCTTCATCCTTTTGTATATTTATACAAAGTCAGCTTATTGCCCCCACAAACTGGGTCCTCAATTGACCTACCTTAGAAAGGATGGAAGGCTGAGTCAACCTTGAGCCTTGGAGAGATTCGAACCTGCAGTAATTGCAGGCAGCTGGTCTTAATAACCAGCTTAATAACAGGGTGCCTTAGACCACTGTACCACCAAGGCTTTTTAAGAAGAATCTACTCTAGACAGTCTAAGATAGTATAGGGCCGTGATGGCGAATCTATGGCATGCGTCCCACAGCTGGTCTTCAGGTCCAGGAGGGTGTGGGGGGCCCGTGCACACATAGGTGGGGGTGGGGAGCGGGGGGGCATGCATGCTTGTGCAGGGTGCAGGGCACGTGTAGGGGGTACATGCGCAGGGGGTGGGCATGCGGCGGAGTATGTGCATTGCATTTGGGGGGGCTCAGGCATGGGCACACGCTTTGGCACTCGGTCCAGAAAAGGTTATCCATCTTGGTTGAACAGGGGCTGGACTAGAAGACCTCCAAGGTCCCTTCCAGTTTATTCTATTCCATATGATTGTGGACCTCCTGGCTAAGCACTGCTGTCTGCAGAGTAACTCTTTTTCCATTAGGAATGTTAAACCTTTTTCTCTTCTCCTCCTAGGTCGGCCATCACCATCTTCCCCCAGAGGACTGATGGCAAACATGACTTCCGAGTCTGGAACTCCCAACTCATCCGTTATGCTGGCTATAAACAACCAGACGGTACCATCCTGGGCGACCCAGCCAGTGTGGAGCTGACTGAGGTTGGTGCATGACGTGGAGAATCTGTACAGAATCCTATAAGGATAAGCATACCTGCGGTGGGAAAAATCCATTAAATTATTGTAATGGTTTTGTGAGGATGATCTTGGGAGACAGGGAACAGGGGCTGCACACTCGACACTGGTATAGCAAAGATGTCTCAGATCACAGATAAGGAAAAGGGATGTGGGAAGTGTTTCAGAAAGAAGAGGAGGGGAGGGGAGAGAAGAGGAGAGGAGAGGAGAGGAGAGGAGAAGAGAAGAGAAGAGAAGAGAAGAGAAGAGAAGAGAAGAGAAGAGAAGAGAAGAGAAGAGAAGATTACAAAATGGAAAGGGAGGGGAGCGGAGGAGAGAGGGAAGGGAGGAGAGGAGAGAGAGGAGAGGAGTGGAAGAAGAGAGAAGAAAAGAGAAAAGGAAGAGAGGAGAGGAAGAGAGGGGGGAAAGGAGAGGAGGAAGAGAGAAGAAAAGAAGAGGAAAGGAAAGGAAAGGAAAGGAAGAGAGATGAGAGAAAGAGGAGAAGAGAAGAGAGAAAGAGAGAGAGGAGAGGAGGAAGAATAAAAAAGAGAAAAGGAAAAGAGGAGAGGAAGAGAGAGAGGAGAGGGAGGAAGAGGAGGAGATGGAAGAAGAAGAAGAAGAAGAAGAAGAAGAAGAAGAAGAAGAAGAAGAATGTACTAATAGTTGTGAACTAATAATTAGAACTCATTGTTGTGCTTCTCGTCTGTAGTACCTCGAAGAGCTAAAAAAAAAAATTGACTGCATGTATTTGTTAAAAACACTTCTGAATCCAAGTCTGCTTAATAGTAATCTTTTCATTTTGATTGTCGCCAACATCTTATAAACTTGATTTTGCAGCCACCATTCGTTGCTTTTTTAATAGCAGTTTGACACCAATTAACATGATCCTTCACGCTTATATTCCAAAGCTTCTTTTAGCAACCGAACACTTTATAAATGATGAGTATTTGAGGCTCATTCAGGGGAAACCGTGCAAAATTTGAACAGAAGTGCCCTGTGACAACAACAGGGCTCACTACTGAACATTAAATAGAATATAGTTTGGTGCATGTAAGGTTTGCTTTTCTACTGATTTAGATTCTGCCAAGCCTCGCGAATAAATAAAATTGAACTCTCTGCTGCAAATTGATCGTAGAGTCTTGGTACTAGTTATGAAAAACTTAGTAGTAGTTATGAAAAAAGCCAGGAGCCACATGTGGCTCTTTGGTCCCTCTGCTGTGGCTCCCTGTTGGGTGATCCCACCACTGGCTGGTCCCTTGCCCTCCCCTCCTGGTTACTCCTCGCCTGGCCTGAGAAGGTAAGGGTGACAGCGGGGGATGGAGAAGAGAGACAGAGAGATACAGAGAGAGGGGGAGAAAGAGGGAGAGGGGGGGAGGGAGGGAGAGAGACAGAGATGTCAAAAGGGTTTTGTAGTTTCCGGTGTTTTTTAACAACCGGTTCTCTGCCCTAATGACCAGCTGGGTAGGCGTGGCTAGGGGTGTGTGTCATGTGACTGGTGGAAGTGAGTGACATCGAGTTGGCCACGCCCACCCAGGTTTTGTGGCTCCCTGTGTTTTCTTTTTGGTGGGAAACAGGTCCAAATGGCTCTTTGAGTGTTTAAGGTTGCAGACCCCACTGGTCTAGTGCTTACGACACCAGGCTAGCCATCTGCAGACCATGAGTTCAGGTCCCATCGTCCCCAACATCCAGCGCCACTTTTAAGGGCATTCTGCGGATCAACCGACAGATGTTGGTGGACTTCACATTTTGCACGTGTGTTTTGTTGCATGGATATCCACCAACCTACTTTTTTATTTTTTTTTTTCTTTTGGGTGCAGATTTGCATGCAGCAAGGATGGAAAGCTCCCTATGGCCGATTCGACATCCTACCGCTCCTTCTCCAGGCCAATGGGAATGATCCTGAGCTTTTTGAGATCCCGTCTGAGTTAGTGTTGGAAGTCCCCATTCGACATCCCAAGTAAGTCAAAAATGCCTGTTATTCTTGGCTCCCATTAAGTTGACATCAAGCGGCGGTGAATCCCTAAACTTAATTATATTGTGGGACATTTGAGATAGGGCGCTATTAACCTTCTTTTCGGCATGGGTCGAAAATACTTCTCATTTCCCCCTGTAAGTTCTATCCAACTTACCGTAATGGTGGTTCCTTTACTCTCTGGCTTTTTATCGTGCATTACAGTTTAGTTGTGTGCTAGGATGATGTACTTTACGGATCGATTCTTAGGCATGGAATTTGCTGTGAGCCTCAAAACATGATGGACTGATAATTGATTGATAGCAATGACAATAGCACTTAGACTTATATACCACTTCGCAATGTTTTCCAGCCCTCTCTAAGCAGTTTACAGAGTCAGCCCTATTGCCCCCAACAATCTGGGTCCTCATTTTACTGACCTCAGAAGGACGGAAGGCTGAGTCAACCTTGAGCCAGTCAGGATCGAACTGCTGGCAATCAGCAGAGTTAGCCTGCAATGCTGCATTTTAACCACAGGGAGGGAGGGAGGGAGGGAGGGAGGAAAGGAAGGAAGGAAGGAAGGAAGGAAGGAAGGAAGGAAGGAAGGAAGGAAGGAAGGAAGGAAGGAAGGATAGCAATAGCACTTAAACTTATATACCACTTCACAGTGCTTTACCTCTCTAAGCGGTTTACAGAGTCAGCCTATTACCCCCTACAAACTGGGTCCTCATTTTTACCAACCTCAGAAGGATGGAAGGCTGAGTCAATCTTGAGCCGGTCAGGATTGAACTGTTGACAGTGGGCAGTGAGTTAGCTTGCAAAACTGCATTCGAACCACTGCGCCAACACGGTTCTTCGATTGATTGATCGATCAGTGGATGGATCAATGTCCTCCAGAATTGGACAAAGTTCTTCAGATGTTCTTCAAGTAGATTAATCTTCTGTAGCTTTTCTAGGGGGACCATGTCCTAGTTGTTTCTGCTTTTTATTTTTTTTATTTTTTTTTCCCCTTTAACAGAATCGAGTGGTTTAAAGACCTTGGGCTTCAATGGTATGGCTTACCAGCTGTTTCGAACATGCTGCTGGAGATCGGAGGGTTGGAGTTCTCGGCATGCCCCTTCAGCGGCTGGTACATGGGGACCGAAATCGGAGTCCGGGATTACTGTGACAGCTCTCGTTACAACATCCTAGAGGTAGTGGCCCTTCTCTCTCAAATCACACTTCCGGATCTTTCAAAACTTACTGCACCGATAAGGCTGCCCTGTTTTCTAGACGCCTTACTAAAAATTTGCCCCCCATCTCCAGCCCTGCCATTTGATCAAGCGTCATTTCACGCCTAATTGTGATGAACCCGTGTTGTTTCTGCATTGCAGGAAGTGGCTAAAAAGATGAATTTAGACATGCGGAAAACTTCCTCCCTCTGGAAGGATCAGGCGTTAGTGGAAATCAACATTGCAGTCCTGTACAGTTTCCAGGTACCGGCAGATAATTTCATAAAACAATAAGAAGACCCTCCTGTTCCAACAAGCCGGCCTGGCCTAATACGAATTTCAGAATGGGTGTATGCGTGTTTTAATCTATGGGCCAGATTTTTATATATTTCAATTTTAAATTGTTTTAAATTTTGTATATTTATATGTGTTTTAATATGGCTGTACACCGCCTTGAGTCCTTCGGGAGAAGGGTGGTATAGAAACCTAATAAATCAAATCAAATCAAATTTGTTAGAAATGCACAGTCTTCGGAATGCTGTAAAGGTAGTCCTCATTTACTGACTGTAATTGCGACTTGCAACCTTGGCGTTATGTGAAACTGCAGCTATTTGTGGCTTGTCGGCCCCTCCAGCAGCTGAAGCAGAAGAGGAGGAGGTGGGAATCAGGGCTAGCATCAAGGCAACCTGAGAGCTCAGAGGGGGAAGAGGGAATGGAGCTGGCAGAGAGAAAGAGAGACAGAGGCCGTCTATCAGCCCTCAGATGGAGAGTCAACAGCCCCCAGGTCTGGAGGTGGCTGATGAGGAAGAGGAGGAACAGCTGGGTCCAGTGCCTGACGCGTGGATGAGCAGAAGGCAGAGGAGAGGAGAGCAGTGGAAATCTATGGGCCGGTCCTCGGGACGGAAGAGCCACCACTGCTAGCAAAGCCTCACCCAAGCTCTGGGGTTAAAAGTCAGGGGGCAGAGATGAATAGGTGTGGCCGACAACTATTCATCTTCCGGCTGGACGGACTTGTTAGCGTGCAGTGAGAGAGAAACTTTTTGCCGGGGCTGCCGGCACTCCTAATTAAAGGAATCTTTGAGTTTACTTCAGAGGGTTTGTAGTGTTTGGAGAGCTGAATCAGAACAAGCTATGATTGTAATAACCAATACCCTGAATTCTCCCAAAGGTGCTTTTTCAAAAGGCAACTGGACTTCGGGGTTTTTTTTTCCTTGAAGACATTTCACTTCTCATCCCAGAAGCTTCTTCAGTTCTTCTTCAGTCCAGTTGCCTTTTGAAAAAGCACTTTTGGGACAACCATGACCCGGATGACTGAGAATTGAGAATCTTAAGTTTATTTTTTTATTTTTATTTTTTTTTAATTTGATTTATATGCCGCCCTTCTCCGGAGACTCAGAGCGGCTTACAATGCGTTAAGCATTTTATTTATTTGTCAAGCATATATAAGATAACAGGTAAAAGTATAAACATAATTTGAACACATGAAAAGAGTAAGTAAAAAGGAATATTAGGACAGGGACGGTAAGGCACACTGGTGCTCTTATGCACGCCCCTTACAGACCTCTTAGGAATGGGGCGAGGTTAACAGTAGACAGTTTAAGGTTAAAATTTTGGGGGTTTGGGGAAGAAACCACAGAGTCAGGTAGTGCATTCCAGGCATTGACCACTCTGTTGCTGAAGTCGTATTTTCTGCAATCGAGTTTGGAGCGGTTTACCTTGAGTGTGTATCTATTATTTGCTCATGTATTATTGTGGTTGAAGCTGAAGTAGTCATTGACAGGAAGGACATTATGGCAGATAATTTTATATACTATGCTTAGGTCAGACTGAAGTCGGCATAGTTCTAAGTTGTCTAAGCCCAAAATTTGGAGTCTGGTGGCATGATAAGGTATTTTATTGCGGTTAGAGGAATGGAGGATATGCCGATATGTCCGATATGCAGTGCGGGTTCCAGAGAGATGAGTCTTGAATTGAATTGGTTCCTATTGCGTGAACTAAGTCCTAAAATGCTGCATTTTTCAAAGGTAGAGTTTGTGATCACCTCCCATTTATAGAGTCCCCCTTTCTCTCTACAGAGTGACAAGGTGACGATTGTGGATCACCACTCGGCCACCGAGTCCTTCATCAAACACATGGAGAATGAATACCGTTGCCGAGGAGGTTGTCCGGCTGACTGGGTATGGATCGTCCCACCCATGTCTGGAAGCATCACCCCTGTCTTCCACCAGGAAATGCTCAACTATAGACTTACACCGTCCTTTGAGTATCAGGTACCATTTCCTCACCTGCCAGTTCAGTTCAGATTTCAGCTGAACGTTTGGGGATGGCGAACATAGAGTAACAGAGTTGGAAGGGACATTGGAAGTCATCTAGTCCAATTCCCTGCATGAGCAGAAGACTCTGTACCACTTCAGACAGCTGGCTGTCCAGTCTATTCTTGAGAGCCTCCGGTGATGGGCACCCACAACTTCTGGAGGCAAGCCGATTAATTGTTCTCATTTCTCCTAAGTTGCTTCTGTCCTTGTGTCAGGGTTCCAAGTAACACCCCCCAACAAAAGGAAACTCCGAGGCTTGAGGTTCCTCAAAGTTACATTTTATTAGAGATGTCCTATTGGCACATCTGGGAAAACCCGAATCTGAAAGCTTCCTGGTTTTCCCCACCCAAAGGAAAGTCCAGGTCCCTGCCCAGCACCCAGATGTCCATCACATGGTCCAATCAAGCACCATCCCAACTGGAGATGCCTTCCAGATCCAGCCTCCCAGGTGCAAGGCAAGATGTCCTTGACTCTCTGAGAAAGGAATGTTATTATGACTATATATCACCCTGACTCCATACAATCCCCCCTCCCAGTTTCCCATAGTAGTAAATGTGGCAGGCCTGAAGGCCCAATGCAAAAGATGGCTTCCAGGTCTGACACCTTGATTCATTTCCATCCATTGGTTCCTGTCTTGCCTTCTGGTGCTTTGGAGAATAGCTTAACCCCTTCCTCTTTGTGGCAGCCCCTGAGATATTGGAAGACTGCTATCATGTCCCCCCTAGTCCTTCTTTTCATTAAACTAGACATACCCAGTTCTTGCAACCGTTCATCGTATGTTTTAGCCTCCAGTCCCCTCATCATCCTGGCTGCTCTTCTCTGCACTCTTTCCAGAGTCTCAACATCTTTTTTTACATTGTGGTGACCAAAACTGGATTCAATATTCCAAGTGTAGCCATACCAAGGCTTTGTAACTAAATCAAAGCAATTGATGCTACCTGTAGTTGAGGTCGTCCACTGTGGTAGTGACTTCTTGGATGTAACGACATCCCATGTTACGGGAGGCTCTGCAGATTTTTTTTTATGGGAAAAAGATGAAAATGGATGTTGCATACCACCCAAACTTGGTATTATTATTGTTGTTAGCTACCCAGAGTCACTTGCTTGAGATGGCCACATGTATTTGATTGAATAATTAAATAAAATTTGCATTCCCAGGATAGGGACAGGGAGGGCTGGCATAGCCGAGAGAAAGCTCAGGAGTAGGACAACCCTTATATAAATTGGGAAAATAGTATTAAAATCTATATATATATAAGCCAAATACCACTCACTCATCACAAAATCTCCAGAACGGTAAAGCCTACAAACTTGAAATTGGGCCACTCCCTCCCTCCCTCTCTCTCTCTCTCAGCTAACCTCACCAGGTTGTTGTGGGGAAAATAGGAGAAGGAAGGTGTGTTTGGATATGTTTGCCACTTGAGCTACTTGTAAAAACAGTAAAGGCTAGGTACAAATCAGTAAATTAAAAATCGTAATTATATACAATTAACAGAATGAAATAGTTGTCTGGTTAGGACTCCTGGTGACATATGTTAATATAAAACCATTCCTCTTTGCATATGGTTGGAATTTAATTAGTTCATGATTCAGCCTTCTGTGTGAACTGAGTTTGTATTACAAGTACAAACAAAATACAAAGTTCAACAAGCTCCAATTTTTGGAGCAACATCCTATCTATCCTAATCATCTTCTTTTAATGACCCCCATAATTCCTTGCGGGGTGGAGTCTGGGCAACTGAATGGAGCTAGCAGAGTGTATGAATGGCCTGATGCCTTTCCTGTCACCAATGCAGAGTTTTGTTCAGCAGATATATATTCTCAGTGTTTCCAGAGAAAGAAACTTCTGCCTCTACCTAGGATCGAACTAACAGCCTCCTGATAGTGAGGCGAGAGCCTCACCTCTAGGCCACCGCACAACTCCATCCTACTGGCCCTAGTCAATTCAAGAGGGCCAGTTTAAGTCTGCTGCAGTGACGCAGATGTGATTTAGAGTTCAACTCCTGAACAATACCCCAAAAAAAGGCTATCGAAGCTACATTTGGACATGGTAAATTCTTGACTTCGTCCTTAGAATCAGTTCTCTTCTCTTTTAACTGGGATTCTTTTTCTCTCCTTCCAGCCTGACCCTTGGAACACCCACATCTGGAAAGGCGTCAATGGCACCCCCACCAAAAAGAGAGCAATTGGCTTCAAAAAATTAGCTAAGTAAGTATGCAGCCGTACCATTACATTTCCCTGTGTGTAACATAGTTTTATAAGGGACGCTGTGGCTCAGTGGCTAAGACGCTGAGCTTGTCGATTGAAAGGTTGGCAGTTCAGCGGTTCGAATCCCTAGTGCCGCGTAACGGGGTGAGCTCCCGTGACTTGTCCCAGCTTCTGCCAACCTAGCAGTTTGAAAGCAGGTAAAAAATGCAAGTAGAAAAATAGGGACCACCTTTGGTGGGAAGGGGACAGCGTTCCCTGCGCCTTTGGCGTTGAGTCATGCCGGCCACATGACCACGGAGACGTCTTCAGACAGTGCTGGCTCTTCGGCTTTGAAACAGAGATGAGCGGCGCCCCCTAGAGTCGAGAACGACTGGCACAAATGGGCAAGGGGAACCTTTAACATAGTTTTAGATGTGCCGTTAAAACTTTAAGAAGCCTACTAGCAGTGCACGTCTCACGGATGACACCCAAACCCTGAAAATCCTGGTTGAGTATCTTCAGTTTAACCTGACAAAGAGGGGAAATGTAACTTTAAAAAGGCTGTGCAAAAATTGGACCTGAAGTTCAAAGATTGAATTTATCCCTTCGAGTGATTCAGTGCATCGAATTGGGCGCTCCCAAACCAGTGTGATAATTCGATTCCTCCATGCGAGCTATTTTTTTCCCCCCTGAATTACTTCAACGATTCAGCTTGATTTAATTCATTGAATTAATGGTTTGAATAAGCTCAGAGATCTGATCTGGATTTTGTGGGATTCACAAACTGCAGTCCGGTTTATAGATAACAGTGAACAGAACTGCTTTTAATTGATTTAGCTTAAATGGAATTGAACCGTCATTCAGACTGAAGTTTTGTTCCAGCCTTGTCTACTTTTCAATCCTGATTCCATCTACTTTCAGCCTCATTACTGTTGACATGACACTTGAGTCAAAAAACGATTTGATCCTTGACTGTATCATCTCTGTTGCTCTTCTTTACACCATTTTGTATCATAGTGACAAGAACTGGAGCAGGGTGAAATGCTCCTGGTTCAAACCGGATCGCCCGATCCGGTAGCGATGGCAGCAGGTGGTTCGGAGAACCGGTAGCAAAAATCCCTTCCCCCCCTCCATGCCCAGCTGAGCCGCGCGATCATCAGAGGCTTTTTTTTTTAACTTTTAAAAGCATTTTTTCTACAACCTCTTCGGCCGAAAAAATGCTTTTAAAAGGCTGCCAAAGTAGACAAAGGTTGGTGATAAGGCCGAAGGACTGTTTACGGAGAATTTGTTTTGGACTTAATTTGGACTAAGCTGAGAATGAAGTAATTCTCAGCTGTTTTTGGTTTTTTTTTTTAATTTGATTTATATGCCGCCCTTCTCTGGAGACTCAGGGCAGCTTACAATGCACTAAGCAATAGCCTTCATTCTTTTGTATATTTATACAAAATCAGCTTATTGCCCCCACAAACTGGGTCCTCAATTTACCTACCTTAGAAAGGATGGAAGACTGAGTCAACCTTGAGCCTTGGAGAGATTCGAACCTGCAGTAATTGCAGGCAGCTGGTCTTAATAACAGGGTGCTTTAGACCACTGTACTACCAAGCTGTTCTAATAAAATATGTTTGTTTAGGACTGATCGTGTCTGGTAATAACTACTTGGGCCTTAGGTCACAACAAGCTATGCAGTGCTGCAATACACTTGATCTCTAATAATAAAATTATGCCTTTCTCATCAAATGGAGCCAAGGGTTGTTTTTAGTTATAAAGTTCAAAGCTGTGGGCAGTCTGACAGCAGTATTGCAAGCGTGGCCTCACCGAAGCTCAGGAGATCTTTCCAAAGCCATGAATTCGTTTTCTTTTCATCTCCCACACAGAGCAGTCAAGTTCTCTGCGAAGCTGATGGGACAAGCAATGGCGAAGAGGGTCAAGGCAACCATCCTCTACGCCACAGAAACAGGGAAATCCCAGGTCTATGCAAAAACTCTTTGTGAAATCTTCAAGCATGCCTTTGATGCCAAGGTAAGCATCTCAGCTTGTTTGGGCGAACCACCGGAGACCACAAGAGTGAATGGCCCAACAAACGCTGCCATTCCCAACAAGTTGAGAGCTGCCCCAATTCCTTTGAGGCTGAAATACAATTTTTTTTAAATAACTTTATTGTCATTGTACGTGTATACAACGAAATTCACTTAACACCCAAAGACCAGGTCCAACACACATAACAATCCCCAAACACACTCCCACCCACCACAATTTCCCGCCCCTAAACCACCCAAACATCCACACAACAGACCAAGTAATGCTGTCCAACAGCTCACTGGTGGTGGCCCTTTAAGTCATGGTTGAGTGCAATGATAGCTCTGGGATAAAAAACTATTCAGAAGACGCGTGGTCCGAGTTTTAATCGTTCTGTATCTTCTGCCAGAAGGCAACAGTCCAAAAAGATTGTAAGCAGGATGGGAAGAGTCTCTGAAAATATTGTGCGACTTCCTCAAACAGCGAGATTCGAAGATGTTGTCCAGGGCTGGTAGCTGGAGTCCGATGATATTCTGAGCAGTTTTAATGATTCTCTGTAGAGCATTTTTGTCCGCTACAGAGCTGCTCCCGTACCATGCAAGAATGCCGTATGTCAGGACACTCTCAACGGTGCTGCGATAGTAGGACAGAAGTAGATGCTGAGATAGATTTATCTTCCTGAACAGCCTTCTCCTAGACCAGCCGTGAAAATCGTCACATTGTGTTTTGGGCAACCGTCCTTTTGGGATTGTTTAATTAATTGTTTAGGTCAATTAATAGCATCTGCAGTGTTAACAATGCCGTCCCGATGCCTCTCAATTCCCAGAGTTAGTTTGCAACTCCTCCAAAGCGAATTTTCCTACTTAATGTTTCATTTGGCGATGTAGGAGATGACCAGGGAGCGGTCAAATGCATCATCAGCCACGAGTCCCTTCGCACCCACGAGAGATCTAAATCCAGACCACCTTGAATTTTTTTTTCTTCTTATCTCCCACTCATTTCCCTTGACTGTTAGTGGTTCAGATTCTTGTAGAGAGCTTACTGCTTGCAATAAATCTTTATACTCATTTGAACTGCTTGAATCTCCTGATTTCCCCGGCACTTGACAGGCAAAAGAAAAGAATGCAGATGCAAATGGAGCTTTTTAAAAAACGGCCATTTGAATCATTAAAAAAAAAAGAAAGAAAAGTGATGGAGGGCAGCCAGCTACTTTTTAAATAGTATCTGGCAGCCCTTTCTCTGTGATTTTGTGCTTTTAAAGTCCTAAGGACTCCTGAGAAGCAAAAGGCAATTGTCCAAATGTCGCACACAAATGTCCATATTGGTGCAAATTTGAAGTTACAGAATACTAGAGTTGGAGGTCTTCTCATCCAACCCCTTGCTCAAGCAGGAGACCTCCTACCATTCTGAACAAACGGCTGTCCGGTATCTTCTTGAAAACCTCCAGGGATGGAGCATCCACAACTTCTGGAGGCCAACCTGTTCAGTTGCAAAGCTCGTTCCTCTGAAGCTACCAGTTTTATCTTTCCAGGTGATGTCGATGGATGAGTATGACACCGTTCACCTGGAGCATGAAACCCTCGTTCTGGTGGTCACGAGCACCTTCGGCAATGGAGACCCTCCGGAGAATGGAGAGGTAGGAAGGGAGCAGGGGTGGGCTTCAAAAATTTTAGCAAGGGGTTCGCTGCGCAGTTGCCGGGTGGGCATGGCCATGGTGGGTGTGGCCTAGTCAGCCTCCTGCATCATGGCAGGGGAGCCGTTTTTGCCCTCCCCGGGCTCCAGAGGCTTTCCTTGAGCCTCTGGGAAGGCGAAAACGGGCTCCGGAGACCCTCTGGAGGCCAGAAATGGGCCTGTTTCCAGCCTCCCCGAACTTCCAGTAGGCCCATTTTTTGCCCTTCCCGAGCCTCCGCATGTGCCCTGCACTTACCTACATCCAAAGCAAGCCACGTGGGGACTCCTGGGAGGGGTGTTCAGGGACACCCAGAGGTGGGATTTGGGGGTTCTCCGAACTGCACAGAATCTTAGCTAGAGGTTCTTCCGAACCCTTGCAAACCCCCAGCAGTCCACCCCTGGAAGGGAGGCTGTCAGACCCTTGCAAGCTACTTGTAATACATGTAGCAACCGAACTGGATCTATTTCGACCAGCAGATCCTGCATAATCCATACCGAAATGGATTAAAGCCATCTTTGATCGTTAAACCGTCCCTTTCCCCAGCTGTTTTTCCCCAGCATGTTTCGTTTGGTGGCTGATTTTGACCTAATTTCTAAGGTTTATACAATACGTTGAGCCAGCAGCTCACCCAATAAGCTGAACTGGCAAAATGCACTGACCTGCATAGGGGTGCATGTTAAACTAATTTACCAATGTGCTAATGGTCTCTCTTAGGTTTTGGGTCAGTGTTTTCAATCTCGGCATCTTTTAAGATGCGTGGAACACAACTCCCAAAATGCACGCATGGCCGGCTGGGGAATTCTGGGAGCTGAAGTCCACGCATCTTAAGAAGGAGATGATACATTGATATATGTTAAGCCAGGGGTGTCAAACTCGATTCCATTGAGGGCCGGATCAGGGTTGGGTTTGACCTCGGAGGGCAGGGTGGGACGTGGTCGAGGCCTGTCAGGACACCTGTGGTAGCCAAGTGCTAAGGCAGGACTTCCCTCAGACCCTCCCTCACTCTCATTATAATCTTCCTTCTACCTCTCCTCCCTCCCTCCTCTTTCCTTCCTTCCTCCTTCCCTCTCTCCCTTCCTGTCTCTCTTTTCTTCCTCCCTCCCTCCCTCTCCTTCTTTTCTTCCTTCCTTCCTTCCTACCTCTCCTCTGTCCTCTTTCCTTCCTCCCCCCTCCCTCCCTGTCTTCTTTTCTTCCTCCCTCCCTCTCCTTCTTTTCTTCCTTCCTTCCTTCCTACCTCTCCTCCCTCCCTCCTCTTTCCTTCCTCCTCCCTCCCTCTGTCTCTCTTTTCTTCCTCCCTCCCTTCCTTTTTTCTTCCTTCCTCTACCTCTCCTCCCTCCCTCCTCTTTCCTTCTTCTCCCTCCCTCCCTCCTGTCTCTCTTTTCTTCCTCCCTCCCTCTCCTTCTTTTCTTCCTTCCTTCCTACCTTTCCTCCCTCCCTCCTCTTTCCTTCCTTCCTCCCTCCCTCCCTGTCTCTCTTTTCTTCTTCCCTCCCTCTCCTTCTTTTCTTCCCCCCTTCCTACCTCTCCTCCCTCCCTTCCTGTCTCTCTTTTCTTCCTCCTTCCCTCTCCTTCTTTTCTTCCTTCCTTCCTTCCCTCTCCTCCCTCCCTCCTCTTTCCTTCTTCCCTCCCTCCCTTCCTGTCTCTCTTTTCCTCTTCCCTCCCTCCCTTTCCTTCCTTCCTTTTCTTCTTTTTCCTTCCTTCTTCCTTCTCCTTTCTTCTTCCTTCCCCTCTTTCCTTCTTTTTCCTTCCTTCTTCGTTCTCCTTTCTTCTTCCTTCCCCTCTTTCCTTCTTTTTCCTTCCTCGCTCTCTTCCCATCTTCCCTCCTTCTTCTTCTTTGTCTTTCCTCTTTCCCTTTCTCCTTTCCTGCCCCTTCTTGCCTGCTCAAATGTAAAAGAGGAAACATTTCTCCTTTTGCTTTGTCTTTAGCTGGTTGTGATAACCCTCCGCCAGCGAAAAAGTAGAGGGTGGCAGGAGGCCGTCACGGCTGAAAACAGGGCTCGGGGAGTGCACGTGCCCCTCCCCCCCGAGCTCCGTTTTCATTGGCAGAGGCACTGCAGGCCGGTCCTTTGCTATTTCCAGCCCAGCCCCGTGGGCCAGATCTAAGCATGCCACGAGCTGGATCCGACTCGCGGGCCTTGAGTTTGACATCACTGCGCCAGTGGTGAAATCCAAATTTTTTTACTACTGGTTCTGTGGGCGTGGTGTGGCTTGGTGGGCATGGCAGGGGAAGGATACTGCAAAATCTCCATTCCCACCCCACTCCAGGGGAAGTATACTGTAAAATCCCCATTCCCACCTCACTCTGGGGCCAGCCAGAGGTGGCATTTGCCGGTTCTCCAAACTGCTGAAAATTTCCACTACCGGTTCTCCAAACTGCTGAAAATTTCTGTCAGAACCTGCTGGATTTCACCCCTGCCCTGCGCTAAGCACACACTTTCCAAAAAATCATTTTGGACCATTGCAAAGCTGGTCTTTTTTCCATTTTTTAAAAGAACCTGTCGTTTTTCAGACCCGGAGGGAAAAAAAAATAAATAATCTTGCAGCTGCTCTAAGAGTTATATTCATTCTGACCAATCTGTTTCTTAAAACAGCCCCGTTTTTTTTTTTTTTTTTTTTTAAGGTTTGCTTTGAATGCTGGAGAAATGACAGGAAGTTTTTAATTAACGGCAGGAAAATCACAACTGCCTGAAGCCTGCTTGCACATTGTCTAAATTATTTTTTGAGGTTGTCCCTGGCCTTAATGGGATGCATCTTTTTTTTTTTTTTTCTTTGTGCCTCAGAAATTCGGGTGTGCCTTGATGGAGATGAGAAACCCAAACTCCAGCTTAGAAGAGAGCAGGTAAGTTTAATTTAACGAGGTTACTTAATAGAATTCCTTTGCAACCTGGAACTGTTTCTTTGGTTTTTTTCATACTTCCTTCTTATGTGCTGGCCTCTGGTGGGGTTATAAGAATTCCACTCCACTCTCAATAAATTTGCAGATTTCCTGGGTGGGGAGAAGAATTGGATGCATCTCTTTCGTTGGCAGATAAAAATCTTAAAATAACTCTTGCTAAGTTTGCTATTGCAGCTGGTAGACTTTGTACTTTGCTAACAGCACAGAACAGTGATGGCAAACCTTTTGGGCACCGAGTGCCCAAACAGGAACACGTGTGTATGTGCGCGCCGGAGCACTGGAAACCCAAGGACCAACTGGCCAGTGCGCATGCCTGTTTTTTGGCCATTTTTCGGGCTGTTTTTAAGCTGTTTTTCGGGCCATTTTGGCCTGAAAATGGCCTGAAAATAGCCCCAAAACAGCCCGGATTAAATAATGTGCAAACTATGATTTTTTAAAAAAAAATTATATAATAATGACATCATTCTGCCACTAGATGTCAGGTTTGTACCGCATTTCTTCAATTAGTTTCTTGAGCCAATTCCTTTTTAGAGGTAAGAGGGTTTTTTTTCCCCTTTGCGCTGTTTTTTTTCTATTTTGCTGCATTTTCTTTGGTTTTTTTTAAAAAAATCCTAATATATTCTTGACAGTTCATAATTATTTTGTATTTGGTTGTTTTCGTGGGCCTCCAAACCCAACCCAAGAACGTTGGCCTCCAAATAAGCAGACATGGCAAGCCCCAGGGACTTCCAATTTGTAATACCGTGTTTCCCCGAAAATAAGACCTCCGCCGAAAATATTTAAACGCACGCACAGCCGGTCCCCGCCATTTCCTCTGGTTAGGGTTAGGGAGACAGAGCTGGAAATCAGGTAAGACGGCAAGAGAAGCCCCGTCTTGCTCCACACGCCCCAAAATAATAAGACCTCCCCGAAAATAAGGCCAAGCGCTTATTTCGGGGTTCAAAAAAAATAAAAGACGGGCTCTTATTTTCAGGGAAACATGGTATTTAATGTGGCAGAAGGGAAAAAAATATTCAAACCATGACTGGAGAGTTAATACTCTTAACCAAATGTGGTTTTGGTTGAGTTGAAATCTCAGCAAATGGATCAAATTTAGTTTTGTCCCAGTTTAGCTTTCTATTTTATGGCTTGCTGCTACTGCTGCTAATGTCTTGTTCAAAGGTGAGTTTTGCACCCCACAGATATGGGATAGTGGGATCAGATTTATTTCACTCTTGTTTCTCTTTAGAGCCTGTTGCAAATGTATTTTTTTTAAGGAAGGAAGGAGGAAGGAGGAAGGAGGAAGGAAGGAAGGAAGAAGAAAGAAAGAAAGAAAGAAAGAAAGAAAGAAAGAAAGAAAGAAAGAAAGAAAGAAAGAGGAAGGAGAGAAGAAAGAAGGAAAGAAAGAAAGGAGGGAGGGAGGAAAGAAGGAAGGAAGAAAGAAAAAGAAAGGAAGGAAGGAAGGAAGGAAGGAAGGAAGGAAGGAAGGAAGGAAGGAAGATAGCAATAGCACTTAGATTTATATACTGCTTCACACTGCTTCGACCTTCCCTGCTGACGAGTAAAGTCAATGGGGGAAGCCAGATTTGTTTAGTGACCATGTGATTTGCTGAACGACTGTGGCGAAAAGATCCTAAAGTCAAGCACAGTCAAACGATCCCTCATTTAACAACCGCATCACTTAGTGATGAACGTTCTGGATCCCGATTGTGGTTGCACCTTGAGGACTACCTGCGATTTAGCAATAGCAATGGCACTTAGACTTATATACCACTTCACAGTGCTTTTACAGCCCCCTCTAAGCGGTTTACAGAGTCAGCCTCTTGTCCCCAAACAATCTGGGTCCTCATTTTACCCACCTCGGAAGGACGGAAGGCTGAGTCAACTTTGAGCCGGTCAGGATTGAACTGCTGGCAGTCAGCAGAGTTAGCTTGCAATACTGGATTCTAACCACTATGCAAGATGGATGGATGGATGGATGGATGGATGGATGGATGGATGGATGGATGGAAAGGAAAGAAGGAAGGAAGGAAGGAAGGAAGGAAGGAAGGAAGGAAGGAAGGAAGGAAGGACAATAGCACTTAAACTTATATACCACTTCACAGTGCTTTACAGCCCTCTCTAAGCGGTTTACAGAGTCAGCCTCTTGTCCCCAGACAATCTGGGTCCTCATTTTACCCACCTCGGAAGGACGGAAGGCTGAGTCAACTTTGAGCCGGTCAGGATCAAACTGCTGGCAGTCGGCAGAATTAGCTTGCAATACTGCATTCTAACCACTGTGCAAGATGGATGGATGGATGGATGGATGGATGGATGGATGGATGGATGGAAAGGAAGGAAGGAAGGAAGGAAGGAAGGAAGGAAGGAAGGAAGGAAGGAAGGAAGGACAATAGCACTTAAACTTATATACCGCTTCACAGTGCTTTACAGCCCTCTCTAAGCGGTTTACAGAGTCAGCCTCTTGCCCCCAACAATCTGGGTCCTCATTTTACCCATCTCAGAAGAATGGAAGGCTGAGTCAACCTTGAACCGGTCAAGATTGAACTGCTGGCAGTCGGTGGAATTACCTTGCAATTCTGCATTCTAACCACTGTGCCACCATAACTCTTGTACATTTTTGGACCTTAACAGGGAAATAATCCATCTGGAATACACTCACCAAGGATAGCATAGGGTTGACTCACTCTCCCTCCCTCCCTCACTGGTTGCTTTAATTCTCCACCCTGTTTGCAGAAGCTACAAAGTGCGCTTCAACAGTGTCTCCTCGTATTCGGATGCCCGGAAATCCTCTACCGATGGACCCGAAGCCAGGGACAACTTTGAGAGCGCTGGTCCTCTGGCCAACGTCAGGTGAGCAGAGAAGCTACAAGTGGCTGCAGAAATCCAGCCAATCTTGAGCCAATTTGGGGTAAAGGAGAATAGGCCCTTTGAGATCTAGAAAGAGTGCAGAGAAGAGCAACAGAGATGATTAGGGGACTGGAGGCTAAAACATAGGAAGAACGGTTGCAGGAACTGGGTATGGCTAGTTTAATGAAAAGAAGGAGTAGGGGAGACATGATAGCAGTCTTCCGATATCTCAGGGGCTTCCCCAAAGAAGAGGGAGTCAAGCTATTCTCCAAAACACCTGAAGGCAGGACAAGAAGCAATGGGTGGAAACTCATCAAGGAGAGAAGCAACTTAGAACTAAGGAGAAATTTCCTGACAGTGAGAACAATTAACCAGTGGAACAACTGGCCTCCAGAAGTTGTGAATGCTCCAACACTGGACGTTTTTAAGAAGAGATTGGATAAACCAAATGGTTTAGGGTTTCTTGCCTAAGCAGGGGGTTGGACTAGAAGACCTCCAAGGTCCCTTCCAACTCCATTATTCTATTCTATGTTCGTCCATAATTTTCCCCATGTGGCTTGTCTTAGATCAGCCCTTTCGTATCTCCTTGTAATTTCTGTAGCAATATATAATCCATTGCCAGCTTGCTGAGCCTGTTGCAATTCCACCCGAGCCCCTATAGCCAGGCCGTTTGAGGGTGACCCAGGATGGCCTTCGTGGCTGCCGTAGCAGTCCTGTGGCACAAGACCACGCCATACTTCGCCCAATCTTAGCAATCCCTTGCTTTGTCCTGTTACCACTTCTCATGGCGTGGATGTGGGGTTGGACTCTGAGAGGCTTTGCCAGAAGGGCAAGAATCAGAATTTTGTACCTCCTTGGACACCCAAAGTGGGAGGGGGAGAGGAGGAGGAGGAGGGAGAAGAAGAAGAAGAAGAAGAAGAAGGAGGAGGAGGAGGAGGAGGAGAAGAAGAAGAAGAAGAAGAAGAAGAAGAAGAAGAAGAAGAAGAAGAAGAAGAGAGGAGAGAGGAGGAGGAGGAGGAGGAGAGGAGGAGGAAGGAGGAGAGGAGGAGGAGGAGGAGGAGGAGGAGGAGGAGGAGGAGGAGGAGGAGGAGGAGAAGGAGGAGGAGGAAGGAAGGAAGGAAGGAAGGAAGGAAGGAAGGAAGGAAGGAAAGAAAGAAAGAAAGAAAGAAAGAAAGAAAGAAAGAAAGAAAGAAAGAAAGAAAGAAAGAAAGAAAGAGGTGATGGAGGAGGAGGAGGACGACGATGATGACGACAACTGTGGGGTCCTTGGTGCTCTCTGAGTTTGCTTGTTTTCTTGCAGACGTTTCCTGACCCAACTAGGTAGCATCATCAGTGCTAGAAGGGAGTGGGGTTTGTGGAGAGGAGGAGGAGGAGGAGAGAAAGAGGAGATACAGATAACATGACTATGAAGACTTTGACTGTAGAAGCAAACTGCATCCTTCCTGCCTCCATGTTGGCTCTGCTTGGATGCCAGAAGTTTGTGGTCACTTGTGCCTTGGCTTACTTCCTTGCAGGTTCTCTGTCTTTGGGCTGGGCTCACGAGCTTACCCTCACTTCTGCGCCTTTGCCCGTGCTGTGGACACCCTCCTGCAAGAGCTGGGAGGGGAACGCATCCTGAGGATGGGTGAGGGGGATGAACTGTGTGGTCAGGAGGAATCCTTCAGAACATGGGCCAAGAAAGTCTTCAAGGTAACCTACATTTAACTGATGTTTCTTGTTTGGGTATCTAGGAGAGGAGGTGATTTTGAAGAGGGTCTATCAGTCTCTACACAATAATGATCGGGGAAGATTTTCACCCCCTGCCCCATAAAACCCTAACCTCCTGCTCTCTGCAGGAACCGAAATGAAAGCATTCCCTACAGTTGAGACCCTAACCTTTGCTTGAAGGTTGCAGTTGTGGCCCTTCAGTGGAGCTGGCAGCAGAGTCGGCCAGTGAGGAGGTTGGGGAGGAACAATGGGATAATCCTGGGGGGTGGGGAAAGCTCGGACGAGGGCTCTGCATCAGAGGCAGAGAGGGAGCTAGACAGCAGTGAGGCAGAGGAACAGCTGGAGCCCGTTCCTAATGTGTGCATGCACAGAGCTGCCAGAAGACAAGAACAACTCAGAAAGCAGGGTCGACTTGGGAGTAAAGCCACACCTTGGAGGTGATTGCCCCCCCCCATAGAAAAGAAAAGAGGAACAAACGGGGAGGGGGCTTTTGCAGGAAACAATTCATTCAGTCGGTCATTTCAAGAGTGGGAAGATCTGTCCGTGACTCTGTGCCAAGTTTTGCCTTGCACTGCAATTGGAAACTAGTTACCTGGCAGCTTTCCAAGCGAGATTAGGTCTGTGTTGATAAATATTCCTCTGAAAGACTGTTTGGTCAGGCCTTGCTGACTGTGAACGGAAGGAATTCACAGTCGTGTAAATAAAAGAGGTTTTGCCGGGACCAAGACTCTGCTTCCTGCTTTTTAAAGGACCTTAGCTCAGAACAATTGTAAGTTACTTACAACTCATGGTCACCTGACCATGCCTTATGGTCTATTTGCCCAAAGCTGGTGTATACTTCCAGTTTTTGGCAAAAATACCCACAGCAAACAATGGGCTCGCTGAACAATACGTAGTGATCACCACAAAACGGTCATAAAATTGGAATGGGTGTCGTGATGATCCTCTTTACAACCACCACAACTAATGATCGGGCTCCATTACAGTCGTTGGTTGAGGACTACCTTAGTCTTCAACTCTGCTTGTGCTATGTAGGTACCTCCTTAAGTCTCACCTCTCCACCAGGGGCGGGTTCTACTTACCTTTACTACCGGTTCGCAGCGGGGCCGTGCGCGCAGAAGTTTTGATGGCGTCGGGGTCGGTGGGCGGGGCCTCCTGGTTTTACTACCAGTTCTATAGAACCGGTGCGAACCAGGGGCAACCCACCATTGCTCTCCACCCTGTTTGAGAGGGGAGGGATGTCCTGGTAAGTTACTCCTCCCCCTTTCCGGGCCTTTCCTTGAGTGCTTGGTGTGTCCTACAGGCAGCATGTGATGTGTTCTGTGTGGGAGACGACGTCAACATCGAAAAAGCCAACAACTCTCTCATCAGCAACGACCGTAGCTGGAAGAGAAGCAAGTTCCGGCTGACCTACGTGGCGGAGGCCCCAGAGCTGACCCAAGGTACCATTATTATTTTTTTTAATTTGATTTATATGCCGCCCTTCTCCGGAGACTCAGGGGGCTTACAATGCGCTAAGCAATAGCCCATTCTGGGCTTCCTAAAGATGCTGTCTTCCAGATGTCTATGGAGATTCCCAATCATCAGGTCATGATTGTCCCAAAGATGCTTTTTTATTCAGAGGGAACTGGATTTTCTGGTTCTTTTTTTTTTTTTTTTTAATTTGATTTATATGCCGCCCTTCTCCGGAGACTCAGGGCGGCTTACAATGCGTTAAGCAATAGCCTTCATCCTTTTGTATATTTATACAAAGTCAGCTTATTGCCCCCACAAACTGGGTCCCCATTTAACCTACCTTAGAAAGGATGGAAGGCTGAGTCAACCTTGAGCCTTGGCGAGATTCGAACCCTGCAGTAATTGCAGGCAGCTGGTCTTAATAACCAGCTTAATAACAGGGTGCCTTAAACCCCTGTACTACCAAGGCTCTTTTCTTCCTTGAAGACGTTTCACTTCTCATCCAAGAAGCTTCTTCAGCTCTAACCGGATGGTGGTGGGGATGGAAGGATTTATATTCCTTGCAGACAGCTGGTCAATGACCATCATCCACCATCCAGTCAGAGCTGTAGAAGCTTCTTGGATGAGAAGTGAAATGTCTTCAAAAGAAAAGTCCAGTTGCCTCTTGAAAAAGTGCCTTTGTCTCCCAGATTAGGCAGAAAGAACATGTGAGGGACTTTTCTTCACTGTTCACTTATCATTATCTACAGTGGCTTGCAAGCTTCTCACACTTCCTGTCAGGGTTCCAAGAAACGCCCCCAACGAAATCAAACTCCGAGGCTTGAGGTTCCTCAAAGCTATTTTTTATTAGAGATGTCATATTGGCACACCTGGGAAAACCCGAATCTGAGAGCTTCTGGGTTTTCCTCACCCAAAAGAAAGTTCAAGTCCCTTCCTCCTGCACCCACATTTCTTGCCACCGTTGCTGAGTGAATCTCTGCGGCGGTTAAATTAGCAACCGTCAGTGATGGGGACAATTAACTAGTGGAACAGCTTGCCACCAGAAGTTGTGGCACTCCATGACTGGAGGTTTTTGAGAAGAGACTGGACAGTCACTTCTCTGGAATAGCATAGGTGTCAGGGTGCCAAGTAACACCCTCAACGAAATCAAACTCCAAGACTTGAGTTTCCTCAAAGTTCCATTTTATTAAAGATGTCGTATTGGTGCATCTGGGAAAACCCGAATCTGAGAGCTTCGGGGTTTTCCTCCCCCAAAAGAAAGTTCAAGTCCCTTCCTCCTGCACCCACATGTCCATCACCTGAACCAATCAGGTACCCTCCGGAACAGAAGATGCCTCCTCAATCTTCTCAGCACAAGCTGCAGGGAAGAGTGGCCTTGACTTTTTTGAAAGAATGTTATTTTGACTACCTATCATCTTCACTCCATACAACCCCCCCCCCTCACATTTTCCCACAGTAGGATTTGTGGAAGGCCTGAAGGCACAAAGGTGAAAAGGTGCCTTCTAGGTCTGACACTTCCGTTGAGTCCCATTGGAGCAGAGGTGGCATTCAGCCAGGGTTCTCCGAACTGGACAGAATCTTAGCTAGAGGTTCTCCTGAATCTCTGCGAACCCCCAGCAGCCCACCCCTGGACTGGGGTATCTTCACCTCTGGAAGCCTTTGGCGATTCCCTTTTCCTCTCATTGCTTATGATTCCTCTTTCCTTCCCAGGTTTATACAGCATCCACAAAAAACGAGTTTACGCCGCTCGGCTGCTGGCCCGTCAGAATCTCCAAAGCCTCAAATCCAGGTAGGAATGGTAGAAAATGATTTACTCCACGAAAAAGGGACATATAAAGAGCTTTGTGTCAACTTGCAAAGCTTTCAAGTTGCCATGAGCAGGAGGGAGGGAGAACTGAAGTGAATTCCATACATTCTTTCTGACCGCAATCAGGAGGAGAGTTTTGGGTTTCACAGCCAGCCAAAGTGGGTAATTGGAGAATGTGATTTATGACATGGCCAGAGAGGAGAGGAGAGACAGGGTCATAGGGGAACGTAAATCTATGTAGGATCAGTCCTAACTGCATCCGAGTATTGCCGGAATGTTGCTCCTAATAAATGAATATATTTCCTTTGAAGTTTGGATCATGGCTCATGAATTAATTAGTGCATCTTTCGGAAACTTGCAGGGACTCCTACATGTAGTGGTGAGATGTTATCTTTTTCTTCAAAAGTGGCAAATTGGAGCCTCTCCAATGGGATGCGAAACCATACCCGGTGTCATTATTATTTCCACAGAACTAACCTTCAGTGGCGCCCTTCCCTCCGAATAGGAAGATAATGCTTAGCCATCATTAGACATAAACCCAGGGGTGGGTTTCAGATCCTTTAGCATCCTAATGACACACCTAGAATCCTGCATCCAGTTTTGGTCATCACACTATAAAAAACGATGTGGAGACTCTAGAAAGAGTTCAGAGAAGAGCAAACAGGATGATGAGGGGACTGGAGGCTAAAACATACGATGAATGGTTGCAGGAACTGGGCATGGCTAGGCTAGTGAAGAGAAGGACCAGGGGAGATCTGATAGCAGTCTTCCAATATTTGAGGGGCTGCCACAGAGAGGAGGGAGGTCAATCTATTTTCCAAAGCACCCGAAGGCCAGACAAAGAATAATGGATGGAAACCAATCAAGAAGAGATTCAACCTGGAAATAAGGAGAAATTTCCTGACTGTGAGAACAATCAACCCATGGAACAGAAGTTGCCTTCGGAAGTTGTGGGAGCTTCATCACTGGAGGCTTTCGAGAAGAGACTGGACTGCCATTTGTCAGAAATGGTGTAGGGTCTCCTGCTTTGGCGGGGGGTTGGACTAGATGACCCACAAGGTCCCTTCCAACTTTGTTAATCTAAACTAATCTCACTGAAGTGATTCAATGGAGTAGAAGACCTACAGGATCCCTTCCAACTCTGTTATTCTGTGTGTTTTTCAGTGTGTCTTTCTCAGTTTTGAAGACTGACAGCGTGTTCTTGACATTTCCTTTCTCTTTAGCCGTTCCACCATTTTCTTACGGCTTCACACGAACGGGCAGCAGGGCTTGCGTTACCTGCCCGGAGACCATCTTGGAGTATTTCCGGGAAACCATGAAGATTTGGTCAACACCTTGATTGAAAGACTGGAGGACGCCCCGCCTACCAACCAGCTAGTAAAAGTCGAACTTCTGGAAGAGAGAACTACGGCTTTAGGTGGGGAAGCCCTTGCGTCATTCTTTTTGTCTTTGTTTAACAAGTTTTAAAAAAAAGAACACAAAGAATACTTTTTTAAAAAGAATAAAAGCAAAAATAAATAACAATCCATCTGGAAGATTCGCCTCAGGTTTTGCTAAAGTTGAAATTAATTCGTCTTGCATTTTGTAATGTCTACCGTTCCAAAAAGAGAAATTTAAGGATGATAGTAATAATAATATTGCCCAATTATGATCAGAATGGGAGTTTGTTATGGCAGTTGCTTATTTCATATGCAGTCCAAATAAAAATCATCAGTTATGCCTCGTTATTTTAATTTAAAAAAAAAGATACTTAACTTTTTTTCTTTAAAAAAAAAAAGAAGGCTATAAATCCTGCACTGAGGAAAATGATTTGTTTCCCCATTAATTTTCTCTTTATAAATCTTCTTAGATGTGGATTTGTTTGTTACGAAGCCATGTTTTTTTCTTATTTTTCCCCACCTCTTTAAGTGGAAACATGGCCAGTCACTTATTACTTACGGCTCAAATATTTTCCATTTACTTTCATGATATTTCCAAACTTTCTGCATATAAAATCTGCAAGAGCAGAGATGCATAGCAATATCATCAACCAACATTTTTGTAGACAATATCCCCCTTCTACCTTGAAATTGAAACCTTAGAACCGGTCATCCTGAGTCATAGATCTGACAAGGAACTGTGTTCCCAACTAATTCAACCCTTAATATTATAAATAGACTCATCTGGCCATTCAAGCCAATGGTAATTTGGAATTTGTTCCCCCTAAAAGTTCAGCACCCTGAAATCACCTATACAACAGCTAAAATCAACACCCAAGTCATAAACGTTTCATTACGTTGAGACCCTTATTTAATTGTCGAGATGTTCTTGTATTCTCAATTTATTTCTGGTTGTTTTAACTTTTATTATTTGGTCTTAGATTGTCATAACAGGTTAATTTGCTCATTTGTTTTGATAGCAGGGGAAGGAAGGAAGGAAGGAAGGAAGGAAGGAAGGAAGGAAGGAAGGAAGGAAGGAGAAAAGGAAAAGCAAAGCAATAGCACTTAGACTTATATACCGCTTCACAGTGCTTTTACAGCCCTCTCTAAGCAGTTTACAGAGTCATTATATTGTCCCCAACAATCTGGGCCCTCATTTTACCGACCTCAGAAGGATGGAAGGCTGAGTCAACCTTGAGCCTGGTGAGATTCGAACTGCCAAATTGCAGGTAGCTGGCAGTTAGCAGAAGTAGCCTGCAGTACTGCATTTTAGCCACTGCGCCACCACGGCTCATGCACAAGAGACATTCATATAGTCTAGAGGCAGTTCTAAAAGGCAGAGAACTCCCCTCACTTTTAATAGGAGACCCCCAGTTCCTTTCAGTCTCTCTACAGTAGTGATCTCCAGCTGAACATGTCAGAATTGGTCCAAAAGCAACGAATATCTGTAACCTCAGGATTGAACTATTAGGATCTTGGTGGTTTCTGCACTTGGTGGCTTTCCCACAAATGTTATTTTACCATGCTAGGTAACATCATTCGTGCATACAGTGCTCTTAAGACATGTGAGGTCTTCAAAGCAGGACCTAACATGAACTTGTGACATGGGTTTTTGAATCTTCAGGTACCATCAGCAACTGGACCGATGAGGACCGCATTCCTCCTTGTACCATATTCCAGGCATTCAAATATTACCTGGACATCACTACCCCTCCCACACCCATTCTCCTGCAGCAATTTGCCTTACTGGCCACCGACGAGAAGGAGAAGAAGCGCCTACAAGTTCTTAGCATGGTAAGAAAGTGGAGAAGATGGAAGACCTTGATTAGCTCCCTTTTTTCCACAATGTCCAGAGCATCTGGGTGATTATTTAGCACAAGGGGTATCCAACCTTGGCCACTAAGACTTGTGGACTTCAACTCTGAGAATTCCCAAGCCAACATTCTAAGAGTTTGACGTCCACAAGTCTTTACAGTGGTCAAGTTTGGCCATTCCTGATTGAGCATGTCTACTCCCATGTTTCCTACATTGGCTACATTCAGATGTGTGGATTTCAAGGCTGGCTGGAGAATTCTGGGAGCCAATGTGTCCACAACACATCTGTAAGTGGCCAAGATTTAGAAGCTCTGTTCTAGAACTCTGTTCTAGATTTAATACCCTGTTGAAAATGGGAACCGCGAGGATGAAATTGAAGAAAGTTATTTTATTGGCCTGGTTTTGAGGAGGCCAAAAATGGCTGTATTCGATGTATAAGACGCACCAACATTTCCACCCTCTTTTAGGGTGGAAAAAGATGCATCTTATACTCCGAAAAATACGGTATTTTTAGAAGCATTCATTGTAATTTTAAGCGCTGTTATTATTAATTATGCATAATTATGCAGTCTTGTCTGGCCTGACTTAAGCTGAATAGACACTTTGTAAAAAAAAAAAAAAAAAGGTTATTCCATCTCATCCATCATCCCTCCTGTGATAATTTGTCTTCATCCGGTTTGGTGAATGGGAGGAATCCATTTTCTAAATTTACAGGGACGTCTTGATTGAACGGACCAATTATGAGAAGGGGTGACATTTATGAATGCCCATAAATTAGAAAGTAGCCCATCTGGGTATGTCATCCATGTGATGACATCATCGCGCAAATGATGTCATTTGCAAAATGGAACCATTATGCAAATACATGGATTCGTGTAAAATAGTTCCGTGGACGTTGAGTGACACGCGTTTTGAGACAATTACGGAATCTGCATGCTTTGCGTCAAAAAGTCACGATGCAAATCTCAACAGAAATGTTTTATTGTATTCAAGTACAATTAATAGCACTTAGACCTATATACCGCTTTACAGTGCTTTACAGCCCTCTCTAAGCGGTTCACAGAGTCATCATATTGCCCCCAACATTTTACCCACCTCGGAAAGAGGGAAGGCTGAGTCAACCTTGAGCCAGTTCAGAATTGAACTGCTGGCAGTGGGCAGAGTTTGCCTGCAATACTGCATTCCAGCCATTGCGCACCATGGATGGATGGATGGATGGATGGATGGATGGAAGGAAGGAGAAAAAGAAGAGCAATAGCAGTAGCACAGACTTATATACCGCTTTACAGTGCTTTTACAGCCCTAGGTTACAGAGTCAGCCTCTTGCCCCCAACAATTTTGGCTCCTCATTTTACCCACCTCGGAAGGACGGAAGGCTGAGTCAACCCTGAACCTGGTGAGATTCGAACTGCCAAATTATAGGCAGGCAGCAGGCAGCAGAAGTAGCCTACAGTACTGCACTCTTAACCACTGGGCCACCGTAGCTCATTTAAATTGTGGTTTCCCTTCCATCAAACTCGAAACTAACCAAACACCCAGTGTTGCACCTATCTCGTCATTAAGAATTTTGTGCACACCCAGAAACGGATTATAAGGTATATTGTACAGGGCTGCTGGAAAGTATCTGGCGTGGGATCCCAAAATTATATATGTGGGGCAGACGTGCAAGATGTTTTTCTCACTGCCGCAAAGGTGTAGTACGGACATAATTTTCCTCGTTGACCTGCCCAAGTGTGAGTTGCTGATGGTTGTAATTATGCAAAGCCACCTTCCCCAGATGGAAAAATCAGCAACAGAATCATTCTTTCATCTTTTTGACATTTCGGGGGGGGGGGGGGCGAAATGTTTGGGGGTCCCTTGTTCTTTGGAAGCTCCCATTTCATATCTCGAATGCCAGTCCGTATTGTTGGGAAAGGAGCCAAGATGGAAGGGGTTGGGGTGGCTTTAAAAGAGGATTAGACAGATTCTTGGAGGATAAAGCAGGATAAAGCGTTTTTCTTTCAGATGTAGCCCACCCAGAGTTGTACTTTGCATCTTGTTTACATCAGGACCTGTCTCTTGTTGATCCCTTTGGGAAGATCTTGTTCAGACTGGATAATCTGTCAGTCTGATCCATGTAGCTTGGCTGTAAGGATTCTACTCAGCAAAGGAAGCTCCAGGGGGTTTTTTTGGCCTGGAGCTAAACTCCTTGCGATGAATGTGGGATGCGGTGGCTCAGTGGCTAAGATGCTGAGTTTGTCAATCAGAAAGGTTGGCAGTTCAGCGGTTCGAATCCCTAGTGCTGCATAGCGGGGTGAGTTCCCGTGACTTGTCTCAGCTTCTGCCAACCTAGCAGTTCGAAAGCACATTAAAAAAAATGCAAGTAGAAAAATAGGGACCACCTTTGGTGGGAAGGTCACAGCGTTCCATGCGCCTTTGGCATTGAGTCATGCCGGCCACATGACCATGGAGATGTCTTCAGACAGCGCTGGCTCTTCAGCTTTGAAACGGAGATGAGCACCGCCCCCTAGAGTCGGGAACGACTAGTACATAGGTGCTTTTCCTTTACCAAACTCGATGTCAGCACTTCAAGCTGCATTTACTCTAGTGCTGATATAAGAAGGAGAAGCGGAGGCGTCTGGAAAGGGACGTTTGACTTTTCACCTACTTATCTTCCCTGGAGATAATATCCCCTAGGAGATGGGAGGGGAGGGGGGAAATTCCTTTGAGCTGGAGCAGTAGATTAGGGGTAGAGTGACTTGGAAGATGGCCAATGAGTGCAGAGGAGTGGGGAAAGGAAAGGGAGGGTTTTGGGTCAGGAAGTCAGTGTTGGCTTCGATGGAGTCAGGTTTTAGAATGCCGTGCTTAATAAATGGGAGTTTTTCATCAAAGACTTTGTTTGAAATGCAATTTATTTGAGACGACCTCGAAACCTGACACTCCATGCCTTCTTTCTTTCTTTCTATAGGGTCTTCAGGATTATGAGGAATGGAAGTGGTCGAAAAACCCCACCATGGTAGAAGTGCTGCAAGAATTCCCATCCGTGCAGATGCCTTCGACCCTCCTGCTAACCCAGCTCCCTTTGCTTCAACCCCGTTACTATTCCATTAGTTCCTCCCCAGACATGTACCAGGATGAAGTCCACCTCACTGTAGCTGTGGTGTCCTATCGCACCAGAGGTAAACCATGCTATCTGTTGGCCTGGAAAGCAGAATCAGACCCAAGCAAAGCCCCCACGCCCCAAATGAACAAAACTGCCTTGGCCAAACATGATAAGACTTCTTGGGAGAGCTGAATTTAGCAATGCACTAAGCTGGACTGATTTGCAAAATGAAGAGCTGGTCATTTCTGTTTGGAAACCTATGGTAAAGAAACTAAGACAAGGGTAGTCATAACCTTCAGGCTGAGGCCCACTACTGGCCCATGGCCTGTTCGAAACTGAGCCACGGGAGAAATGGGAAAGCGCAAGTGGAGCTTCGTGTGCGAGTGCAAATGCCTGACACTTGCGTGAGTGGAACAGAGGGTGCTTGCGCAAGAAGCTCCATTCGTGTGAGTGGAGGGTGTGCGCACGCTGCTCACACAAATGGAGCTGTGTACGCACGTGCATCTGCCACTCACACACACACACACACACCTCAAGCTGGACCGGACTGCCAAGCTGGAAAGCTTGGGGACCGCAGAACTAAGACTCATTCAAAAAAATCAGCACCATGGAGAGCTCCACTTGGTTAGGTTAGTGCAGTGGTGGAATTCATTTTTTTTTTTACTATGGGTTGTGTGGGCGTGGCTTGGTGGGTGTGGCTTGGTGGCCATGGTATGGCTTGGTGGGTGTGGCTTGGGCGTGGCAGGGGAAGCATACTGCAAAATCTCCATTCCCTCCCCACTCCAGGGGAAGGATACTGCAAAATCTCCATTCCCACCCCACTCCAAGGGAAGGATCCCCATTCCCCCATTACCAAATCTTCATTCCCTCCCCATTCCAGGGGAAGGATATTGCAAAATCCCCATTCCCAACCCACTCTGGGGCCAGCCAGAGGTGGCATTTGCCAGTTCTCCAAACTACTCAAAATTTCTGCTACTGGTTCTCCAGAACCTGCCAGAACCTGCTGAATTTCACCCCTGGGTTAGTGTCTCCTGCTAGGTTCTGTTTCTCTGATCTTTGTGATGAGAGACCTTTGGGGGAAAGATCTCTGATGTTCACCGAGCCTTGATATTTTTCCCGTCAATCTTCTTTCCTCCTTTGCCTTTGTCTCCAAGCCCAAGGTCAGCACTGTAAGTCCAGGATAACAGCATAATTTTGCCAAGCGGTATGTCCTCGGTGGAGATTAGTCTTTCATTTCAAAGATAAATGAAATGCAAAATAAAAGCATATTACAAGCAAAGTTGTGAGCAGAGCCATCTCTGGCCTCACATTTGATGGACTGCAGAATGTGTTACATCTGGGCCATATGTGGTGGCCTGTTTTGGCAGAGGTAATGGTTTTGGAGCCTCTGGTGAACATCAACCGGGAGACAGAAAGAAGAAACATAGTCCAGACAGATCTACTTTTCAAGTCCAAGTAACTGATATTGCTGTTATGATGAACAAGCGTTTTCAAATTGTATTTGGGTTGTGCATTGCTTCATATTTGAGCCCAAAAGGGTGATATCTAAATATAGTATTTATACAAAATGCTATAAATATAGTATTTATACAACATGCTATAAATATAGTATTTATACACTTTATAATGCCTCTTTATAATGCCCATAATATCATTGTCTAGAGCAGTGATGGCTAAACCTTTTGCCATCGTGTGCCAAGAGTGGGGGGCACACATGTGCATGCCCACATCCATAATTCTATGTGCTCCGTGCATGCCCCCCCCGCTTCCCCCACACCTGGATGTGATGGCCTGGTAGGCCCATTTTTCTCTCTCACCAGGTTCCAGAGTCTTTCTAGAAGTCTGGGAAGGGCGAAAAAGGCCTTCCCCCCCACCTGGAGGCCCTCCGGAGGCTGGAAACGGCCCGATGGGACCGGAAGTTGGCAAACAGGCTGTTTCTGGCCTCCGGAGGGCCTCCGAGGGTGGTAGGGAAAGGCGTTTTCACCCTCCCCAGGCTCCTAGAAAGGCTCTGGAGGCTGGGGAAAGCAAAAAACGGGCCTTCCGGTCCTACCAGAAGTTGGCAAACAGGCCGTTTCTGGCCTCCGTATGGCCTCCGGAGGGGTGGGGAAGGCCATTTTCGCCCTCCCCAGACTCCTAGAAAGGCTCTGGAGCCTAGGGACAGCAAAAAACAGGCCTTCCCCACCACCTCCTGAGGCCCTCTGGAGGCAGGAAACAGCCTGTTTCCCTACCTCTGGTGGGCCCAGAAGGCCCGAAAATCAGCTGGCGCGCCGGAGCTGAGCTCGCGTGCCCACTGATATGGCTACGCATGCCACCTGTGGCACATATGCCATAGGTTCGCCATCACGGTTCTAGAGTGTTTGTAGATTACACCCCTACACTCATCTTGAACATTAGAAAGTTGAAGTTGAACATATATTATATGTATGCTTTTGGAATCTCACCAAATATTATCCAACACTTTTTACATCTTTTCCCAGACGGGGAAGGCCCAATACACCATGGAGTATGTTCTTCCTGGTTCAACCAGATACAGGAGGATGAAGTGGTGCCATGCTTCGTTAGAGGGTAAGATGGGATGAAGTGAAGATTCGAAAACGAAATCAGACTGTTTGGGTTCCAGTCGGTTTTTAATCTTGTTGAAGTTCCCAGACACAAGTTCCAGTTTATTCTAGGTTGACCACAAGGCTAAGAGTCAATTCCCTTGTTATTTCACCTTTAGGCTGAAGTTGCCAAAATGTGTCTTCGTCAAAACAGAACCTGTATTACAGGTGGTCCTTGACTTAACAGGCATTCATCTAACGATGGTTCAAAGTTTTACAACAGTCTCGGGGAAAATAATTTTATGTTCTTAAGTTATAACGGGAGATTCTGGTTGTTATAAAATTTCAACCGTAGTAGAATCAATTCCCTAGGGATGGTGGAAGCATTCTTTCTCCAGGTATATTCATGCAATAGTCGGAGAGCTATTACCATATTTTTCGGAGTATAAGACACACTTCCCCCCCCCCAAAAGAGGGTGCAAATTTGGGTGCATCTTATACACCGAATGTAGCCCCGCCCACCTGCCAGCCCCACTCTTTGGCCTCTGTCTCCCAGCAATTTGCCTCCTTGCAGCAAACAGCAAGTTTCAGTTTCAGCACAACCTGATTAGCGCAAGCAGATGATTGTTGGTTGGATTGGCCTCCTGACCATCAGCTGTTTCAGGCTGCAGGAATTGCCATTGCTTATTGCCACCTCTACGCGCCCCATTTTCGGCCTCCGCTGTTTGCTGCAAGGAAGCAAATTGCTGGGAGCAGAGGCAGATTTTTTTTCTTGTGCTAATCAGGCTGTGCTGAAAATGAAACTGAAACTGAAATTTGCTGTTTGCTGCAAGGAGGCAAATTGCTGGGAGGCAGAGGCAGTTTTTTTTTTCTTGTGGTAATAGGCTGTGCTGAAAATGAAAATGAAAATGAAACAGGCTGTTTTCTGCAAGGAGGCAAATTGGTGGGAAGCAGAGGCAGATTTTTTTTCCTTGTTTTCCTCCCCAAAAAAGGTAGGTGCGTTTTATAGTCCGGAGCGTCTTATGCTCCAAAAAATACGGTAAATGTTTTACTTCAGTTTAAAATAGAATAGCTTCTTCTGCCTTCGGAGTTCTCTAAAGCAGTGTTCTTTAACCTGGGCCGCTTTAAAATGCATGGACTTCAACTCCCAGAATTCCCCAGCCAGCTACAGCCATTGGCTGTGGAATTCTGGGAGTTGAAGTCCACACATCTTAAAGTGTCCAAGGATGAGAAGCACTGCTCTAAAGCCTATAAGACTGGACTGATTTAGGGTTGCAGTTTTATACATTTAGGGAGTAAAATTCAACTGCACACTGAACTAAACTCCTTGTGGATTTATTTTTTGCAACTAGTTCCCACTTAGAGAGCCAGTTTGGTGTAGACAAAGAGATCAAGAATTCTATTCCTGTTGGGTGACCTCGGGCCAGTCACCATCTCTCAGCCCTAGGAAGGAGGCAATGGCAAACTACTTCCAAAAACATTGCCAAGATACCTAGCAGGGACTTGTCTGCAGTAGTGCCCAAAACTGTGGGAACCTTTTGGGAAAAGTGTATTTTCTAAAACTAGCTAATAACACCACTTTTTTTTTTTTTTTTGGAGTAATGCCATAAAATTATATATCAATGGAAAGATAACTGAATCCAGAACGTAATGCAATAACTTTTATGAAGGATTTGCTATTAGAACCGCAGTTATAAAGAAGAAAAGTGAAACATAGAAAAAATGAGATATACAAAAATGATCACCCTAGAAAAAATGAGATATGCAAAAATTGTCACCATGTCAGTTAATACTTAGTTGGGTAACCTTTAGCATGAATGACGGCCTTACAACGTCTTCCCATGGAGTGAACCAAATCTTTTAGTTCTGCAGCTGTTATCATGTGAAACCAAGATTGAATGATGGCTTCTATTAACTGGGTTTTTATTGCTGGGTCGCTTCTGACTAACAAGTTTCTTTAGTCAGCTCCATAGATTTTTCCATTGGACTTTCCATTAAGTCTGGCCTATTCCCAGGCCATTCCAGCAGCGGAATAGATTATCTTGAAACTCACAAAAAAAAAAGTTGTGTTATTAGCCATCACACCTCAAAAATACACTTTTCCCAAAAGGTTTCCACAATTTTGGCCACTACTGTAGATAGTAGCCATGAGTCAACACTGACTTGAAGGCAACTGACTTCACTGACTTGAAGGCCAAAAAATAAAACATAGTTTTCCTCTGACCTTCTCAGCAATGACAGGTAGAAGCATTCTCTCTCTTTGGAGTCGATCTACTTTTCATGACCTCCTGATGCAAGAAGATGGAAGCCAGCTTATGTGATGACTGTGAAATTCCTGTTTTGTTTCTCCAGGGCACCTGGATTTCACATGCCACAAGATCCCAAGCTTCCCTGCATTCTGATTGGCCCTGGGACCGGAATTGCACCTTTCCGGAGTTTCTGGCAACAGCGGCTCTTTGATCTCAAACATAAAGGTTGGTGAATTTGGGGAAAGTAGATGGAAAGTAGATGATGCCAGTCTTCTATTACTTGAGGGCCTGTCACAGAGAAGAGGGGGTCAACCTATTCTCCAAAGCACCTGAAGACAGGACAAGAAGTAATGGATGGAAGATCATTAGTGATTCAACTTAGAACTAAAGCAGGGGTCGGCAACCTTAAACACTCAGAGCCACAAAGGCCCTAACCGGAACCCCCCCCCCCCGTTCAATTCTGGAGCCAACTGGAAGTCCAGTTCCCCCCACCATAGAGTCTCCTCCTAGCATGGCATCTTTTTTTCCTCTGCCAACCAGAAGTCCAGTTCCCCCACCATAGAGTCTCCTCCTAGCACGGCATCCTTTTCTCTCTACCTATCCTAACTGAAAGCCCTATCAATTGTGGAGCTGACTGGCGACCGGGAGCTGCAGCAGAGGGATGAAAGAGCCACATGCGGCTCCAGAGCCGCAGGTTGCTGACTCCTGACCTAAGGAGAAATTTCCTGACAGTGAGAACAATTAATCAGTGGGAAAGCTAAGCCTCCAGAAGTTGTGGGTGGTCCATCACTGGAGGTTTTAAGAAGGTCTTATGTATGCTACTGCAATGTAAGGGGGAAAAAAACCCTTTTTCTTCTCCCAATCTTCTCACTAGGGCTGAAACCATGCCCCATGACACTGGTCTTCGGTTGCCGACAATCCAAGATCGATCACATTTACAAAGAAGAGACTTTGCTGGCCAAGAGCAGTGGGGTCTTCAAAGAGCTGTTCACAGCCTATTCTCGTGAACCTGAAAAACCAAAGGTAATTCACAGCCCACCCTGAGCAGATTCTCCTGATCATTTCCCAGACGCCTGTCACTCAGACAAATTAGCCAGCGATAGCAGTGGTGGGTTCCTCCCGGTTCGGCCCGGTTCGGCCGAGCCGGTAGCGGTGATGATATGACGTCACCGAACCGGTTCTTCCCCCCCCCGCCCTCCCCCCCACCCCCCCACGTTATTCTTACCGTTTATTTGGTCCCACCCCCAATCTATTGCTGCCTCCTGAGTCCCAGCTGATGACTAGAGGGAAAAAAAACTCTTGCCGCGGGGCTTCAAAGGGCCGCCCTACAGCTGATCAGTGTTAAAACCAAACAAATGAGTCGGGTCGTAAGTGCGAGGACTGGTCGTAAGTGCGAGGACCTTCCAGAAATGACTCTGACCAGCTAGCCACGCCCACCTAATCACATGACCTCCAAGCCACACCCACAAAATAAGCCACGCCCACAGAACCGGTAGTAAAAAAATTTAGAACCCACCCCTGATCGATAGGCACATCGAGATAAACAACATCTACACACCATTCCAAAGAGACAATCAAAAAGCGAAGTCCAAGGGGGGGGAGGGGGCTGGATTTGCTCAACGGCTGCATGATTCACGTAACTGCAAAACGGTTGTAAAATCTGGTGCGACTATCCGCCAATGTGGTATATAAAACACTTTTTTCCTTTTTATAGAAATATGTCCAGGATATCCTGCAGGAGCAATTGGCGAGCTCAGTCTACAAAGCGCTGAAGGAGAAGGGTGGCCATGTCTACGTGTGTGGTGATGTCACCATGGCTGGAGATGTCCTCAAGACCATCCAAAGTATCGTTCGGGAACAAGGGAAGCTGTCAGCCGAAGAAGGCGTTGCGTTCATTAGCAAACTGAGGGTGAGCCACCCATGTCAGACCCCCTGGAGTCTGGGGAAGGTTCAAATGAGGACTCTGAGTCGGAGGCAGAGAGGGGGCCAAGGCCGTCTGGTAGTTCTTTGCTGCCTCCAGAGTCTCCGCAGTCTGACATCAGCAAGGCAGAAGAATAGCGGGACCCTGTTCCTAGTGTGCTTATGCACAGAGCTGCCAGGAGACAGGAACAATTAAAAAAACATGGTTGATTTGGGAGTGAGGTTTGGAGATGATTGGCCCTTCCCATAAGACATAAAAGAGGAGTGAACGGGACGTGAATTTTTGCAGGAAGCAATTAGTTCATCTGGTCGGTAAAAGCTCTGGAAAAGCTCTGTGTGACTCTGTGCTAAGTTTGGCCTTGCCCTGCGTGTGGCATTTAGTTCTCTGGCAGCATTCCAAGGGAGATAAGGTGGGTGTTTGTAAATACTCTCCTGATGGACTGTTTGAGAAGCCTTTCGGACTGGGAAGGACAATAATTCACAGCCGTATGAATAAAAGAGGTTTGCAGGGACTAAGATTGTGCTGTATACTTTCTAAGGAAGCCTAGGTTAGACCACATAACGGAAAGAACTCCGAGGCAGGAAAGTTCCTCAAAGAACAATTTATTAGGATATAATAAATATATCTTTGTTGGCACAAAGTTGGTGAAAACCGACTCTAAAAGTTCCTGCAGTTTTCACCTTATTAAAAGTTTGTGAAAGTTTGTCACTTTCCCAAAACAATCAGCCACATGGTCAAATCAGCATACAATCCAGTTGCTAGGTGACCTCAGTCTCCTCCTCCTGAACGCCTGCTGGAATGACCTTGGTTCCCAAGGGAAAGCATTCTTTATTTTGGCTATCCAGCAGCCCAGCTATCTCTACTCTCCACCCTCCCTATCCCCAGCTCGTGTGTGTGCCAGCACTGAAGCAGAAAAAGAAAAATGGCCTCAGTTTAGCCATCTTCAGGGTTTACACGCCATTCCCATAATGTGTTTCAACCTTCCCTGCATAGAGCCTGGTGGCAGAGTGGTTAAAGAGCAGTGTTGCAGGCAAACTCTATTTCTTTCCTTCTATCTCCTCCTCCCCCTCTCAATTCTCTTTTTTTCTCTCTCTTTCTCTCTCGCTCTCTTTCTCTCTCTCTTGCATTTCTTTTTCCTCTCTTCTGTCTTTCTTTTTTCTCTCTCTTTCTCTCTCTCTCTCTGGTTTCTCTTTTTCCTCTCTCTTTCTTCTGTCTCATTTTTCTCTCTCTTTCTCCTGTCTCTCTTTTTTCTCTCTCTCTCTCTCTCGTTTCTTTTTCCTCTCTCTTCTGTCTCTTTTTTCTTTCTTTTTCTCATCTCTTTCTCTCTCTCTTTCTCCTCTCTCTCTCTCTCTCTCTCTTGTTTCAATTTTTCCTCTCTTTCTTCTGTCTCTTTTTTCTCTTTCCCACCTCTTTTCTCTCTCTCTCTCTCTTTTTCTCTCTCTTTCTCTCTCTCGTTTCTTTTCTCTCTCCTCTTTCTCTTTCTTTCTGTCTCTTTTGTTTCATTTTTTCCTCTCTTACTTCTGTCTCTTTTTTCTCTTTCCCATCTCTTTTCTCTCTCTCTCTCTCTCTTTCTCTCTCTCTTGTTTCTCTTTTTTCTCTCTCCTCTCTCTCTCTCTCTCTCTCTCTCTCTCTGTCTCTCTCTTCCCCCCCCCCAACAAACATATCATTTTGCAGGACGACAACCGATACCATGAAGACATCTTCGGAGTCACTCTACGCACATACGAAGTGACCAACCGCCTCCGATCCGAGTCCATCGCGCAGATCGAGGAAAGCAAAAAAGACACAGATGAGTGAGTGAGCCTTTTTCAGCTTTTGTGAAATGTTCCTTCTCCCCTGGGTCCTCAAAGTGTGTGAGGAGGCAGGAAAAATTGGACACCTTTAATGGTTTTGGAGGGATCCGTGGTGTAGTGAGATGCTGCTCAACTTTCAAACTTTTATTTTAAAAAATGCTAATCGTTCAGAAATTCTCCTGCATTTCTCCTGCCAGATCTCACGTGTTTTGATAAACAAGAGTTTTGCTTTGGAAATTATTCCAAAGGAGAAGAGAATCTTGGAGGTTTTCTCTTGAGTGTGACCTTCTTGCTCTTATTTTGTGAGGAGGTCTCCAGTTTTGGGGGACGGGAGTTGGGGGAGCTCCTCCCTTTATCTTACAGCTCTGGGATTTCCAAGCGTTAAACACACCTGAGCGCACCTCAGAATATTTTTGGGGGGGGGCAGCCACGGTTACACGCCTGATGCTCCAAGGAACTCTTACGCCAGTCCTAACCGCCAGGCTTTCTTGCAGGGTGTTTGGTTCCTAATCTGGACGGTGGGGCCGGAGGTGGGATGCCAAGCCAGGCCGGTCGGTCACGGCAGCTCCTGCTGCACGGTTCCAGGCTGAGGGGGGCTGGACCCTGTAACTGACCGCTCCGCATCCACTCCCTTTTCTCCAGGGACACGGCACTCCATGACCTTTGCTCTTCTGGGCCTCGTCCGGTTATTGTGTCCTGAAGGAAGCGTGGCTACCGGTGCACTGATGGGCGATAAAAGGAACGGACGATGGAGTTGATTCTCTTTTCTCCTCCTCCCCCCCTCCCTCATCCCATCCTGTGGTCGTTTTTTTTTCCCCCTTTTCTGGAGCAACCCTGCTGAAGCGCACGATGGCTTTTTAACAACCTTGCCGTGGCTTTTCTTTCCCCCCCGCCAAAAAAAAGAGAAAAAGCACAGCCACCATCTTTCGTCCTTCTCTCTTTGCTGTGGACAAGGCCATTTCCGATTGGGCTGCATGAAATCCCTTCCTTTAGCGATCCATCCTCTGCAAGTTTGGGGCTTCGGGAGTTGGGGGACCGGCTTTCCGGTGGCGTGCCCGGCTTTGCCCATCCACTCAGCACGATTGGCTTCAAAAATCATCGGCTCGCTTTCTCTTTTCTTTCTTTCTCTCTCTCTCTCTCTCTCTCTCTCTTTGTTTGGGTCCTGTTGTCTTTGACGAATGGGTGGGGAGAAAGGGGGGGTTGGCCGATGCCCTGCTTTTTTCTGTATCTCTGCTCGTGCTCAGCCTCTCCGCTGTTTCACACACAGCATGCCGTGTTCCGTTCGAACTGTCTTAATGTAGCTGTGTTCTTTGAGGCTCTCTTCCTTTTCCTCCTCCATCCCTAGCAAGTTTACCAAAAAACCAGTGGTTATCAAGACGGAAAAGGCCTTTGACCGGTCCTCCCTCCTTCCCTTCTTGGGATTTACAAGGGATGGAAAAGACGCCCGAAATCGATGAGCGGACAGCAAATCCATCCGATAACTCTTGAAATTGTTTTTGACTTCGTGCTGGATAGACAACACAGAGAGCCCTTTAGGGAAGCTTAGAGAATGCTGCCCAACGACCCACTCTGTGGAAGAATCATAAATACAAGCCAGAGAGGCTCCCACCATCCTTGAAGAAAGCTTCAAAAGTGGGGAGGGAGGGTCTTTTATCAGCCTCTTCACCAAATGACCCCTAAAATCGATGGTTGGGTTAATCGGAATTCAAAGGAAATTGGTTAAATCGAGGTTGGAAATGAGGAAGATAACTGAGGATGCTGTCATCGTTGGGGATGGCTCCCTCCTTTTATTTCCCACCCCACCCTCTAGCTTTCGGAGACTGGAGCCCTGTCAAATATCCAAAACCATATGTGCACATTTGGCAGTTTACATTGAAGGAGGCGGTAGAGATGTGGGGTGGGGGGTGTTAGCTCATGGCAAAACTGATCCCTTTTTTTGGGTGCATGTTTTTTTTTTTCATAACATTTCACAGCAAGTTTAACCCTCGTCGATGAGAAACTACAAATGTCGGAGACGGAGGACAAACTTAATACTTGGGAGTAATCCAGTAGTTGAACTGATGCTGAAAGTTGTAGTAGTAGTTGGGTTTGGGAAATTAACTGGCCACCTTAGATGCCAAGGTCTAAACGCATCCTCGTCAGTCATTCTAAATTTGCACATCCTAATAGATGGCACGACATTCTAAGACCGTGGTTTGTTTGGAAAATGAACTGGCCACCTTTGCCTCTGTGAACTTAAGACCTTTTTTTTATTTTTTATTATTATTATTTCTGTGCATTGTCATCTACATTTTAGGAACGCCTCTTAGTCCCTAATAATTTACATTCTAGTTCGGTCCTAATTCATGCCTTCCTAAACTCTTGATTGTACCATGCCTTCATGATCAAAGAAAGAAATACAGCTTGTTGCCTTCAAAATATATATATATATATATATATTTCAAAAGGAAAAGAGAAAAGAAAGAAACTGAAAAAAAGAAGAGAAAAATTCAAACCACCACACTGTGATAGGTTCAGATCATGTCTTGCACTGTATTAGCGTGTCGGCGTTTTCACAGATAGACACACAACTGCTTAGATGTTGCCTTTTAAAGCAGCCGCATCACTTGGATGTCTGGAGCGCGAGCCGGTTAATTGTGAGTTTACATAAAGCTGTTCCTGTATGTATGTTTACCTTACTTGTATTCCTCTATGGATTATCAGTCTTTTCTGTGGTTGAAAAAAAAATAAAATAAAAATGAGCAGAAAAAAAAAACGAGGGAAGCGTGCTAGAAGAAAAGAGCATTAAATACCAACAACGTCAATGCGGATCAGCTAATCCACCAGGGAACTTAGCATTTGCACAACTCACTAAGCCGACCCCATTGCCGGACCTGAAATATCAAACTACGCTCTAACCGAGATCAGTCACAGTTCACTAATTTTAACTTTGGTCCTCTGAATCATCTAGACCTGGATTTAAAGAGTTCTCTGAAGTTATGGACACCTTGGAACAAAAGAGTTGGGAGGCTAGAGTGGCTAGAAAAATGAGTCTGTTCTAGCAGCGACTCTTGTTGCTAAGAGCGACACAGTGGTTAGAGTGCAGTACTGCAGGCTACTTCTGCTGTCTGCCGGCTGCCAGCAGTTTGGCAGATCGAATCTCACCAGGCTCAAGGTTGACTCAGCCTTCCATCCTTCCGAGGTCAGTAAAATGAGGACCCAGATTGTTGGGGGAAAGATGCTCTGTAAACCGCTTAGAGAGGGCTGTAAAATCACTGTGAAGCGGTATAGAAATCTAAGTGCTGTTGCTATTCCTTCCTTCCTTCCTTCCTTCCTTCCTTCCTTCCTTCCTTCCTTCCTTCCTTCCTTCCTTTCCTGTGCAGTAGTTAGAAAGCAGTGTTGCAGGTAACTCTGCCAACTGCCAGGAGTTCGATCCTGACCGGCTCAAGGTTGACTCAGACTTCCGTCCTTCCGAGATGGGTAAAATGAGGAAACCCAGATTGTTGGGGGCAATATGCTGACTCTGTAAACTGCTTAGAGAGGGCTGTAAAGCACTATGAAGCGGTATATAAGTCTTAAGTGCTATTGCTATTGCTATTGCTATTGTCCTCCTATTTCTATTTTTCCCCACTTCCCCTATACACCCTTGTCCGAGGGGAGGGAAATAGCTTCTCCTATCCCATTTATCGCTGGTTCTGATCCGAGTTGGGCCACCAGCTGTTTCTAGTTTTAGTTTTGCAGTTAAGAGCTTTTTTTGGAAAAAAAACACACACACAAAAAACCCAAAGGACATCTGTTGAAAATGAAATGGGACATGTTTTAGGGTCTCCTGCCTGAACAGGGGGGTTGGACTAGATGACCTCCAAGGTCCCTTCCAACTCTGTTATTCTGTGATTCTGGGACAACTCATTCCGGCCAACTCGCTACTGCACAACTCACCGCAGGACAATTCAACAAATATAAAAGTTAATTGAATGTTGATGGAACCGTGGCCAACAACAATAATGAAAGAAAGAAAGAAAGAAAGAAAGAAAGAAAGAAAGAAAGAAAGACATACAAGGGTTACAGTATAATTTTGATGAAAACGGGGTCACCCTTTAAATAAAAGCCAACTGAATGAAACGATGGACACACGTCAAATTGTGCCGCGGGAAGCTGTGCTGGGGCGAGGTGGCTGCAGTGAGTCGTGGTCAATTGGCCGTAGGGGGTTTGTCCTGAAAAAGTGACTAAGCTACTGGCCACCCTTTGCTGATAACAGGAAACGGCTTCGGTTTGCTGCAGGGTGGATTTGATTGAAATCGAGCTGATTTAAATCACGATTTAAATCACGATTTAAATCACTAGTAAAAAGGCTTGATTTAAATCAACTCGATTTAAATCGTAGTTTTTAAAGAGCAACCGTCATCTCTGCTACTCCTTTGACCCGCTGTTGACTCACCGATAGTCCCAGGGTTGCAGAATATACAGCCTCCTGCTACATAACTAAGTTCCATTTCATGCTGAATAAACTAAATGATTTATGTATCTTAAATAGAAAACTATCTTACGATAGATTTTTACCCCAGAAGTTTTTTATTAAAATAAATTCGATAAAAATCAAAAAAATCCGACTTAAATCAAAAAAATCCGATTTAAATAAAAAAAAATCCGATTTAAATAAAAAAAAAGTCTGATTTTTTTTATTTTTTTTTTTAAAAATCATTGATTTTTATCCACCCTGGTTCGCTGTATCATTTACGTCAGGGGATCCCAACTCCCAGGCTGGACCACGGCATGCAAGAAACCGAGCCACGCAAACAAGCAAAGCCCCATTCGTGGGATGCAGGCAACACACGAATCCAGGTCCCTCCGGTCCCCCTTCTCTCCATGCAATCGGTCCCTGGTGCCCCAAAGTTTGGGGGCTGCTGATCCAGGAATATATTTTATCCATGGCTGTGGCTGGACTAAGCTTAGTCCGTTGTGCAAATCTTTGTCCCTCGAATACGCCTGAAACAAGAAGATCCAAACGTCGGGGAAAAAACGTCATAAGGGACCTCATCCGGATTTTTTTTTTTGCCTGTTGCCTCCTTTTTCTCCTCACTGGAACTAAGGAACTAAATGATGTTTACAGCCTTTGATTTCCCCTCCGTGCGGCTCTGGATTTCCCTTTCCTCTCTTTCCAACAACAGCAGGAGCAGCAAAAGGGAAGAATCGTTTCACAGCCAAGGTTTTTTCTCTCTCTCTCAACCCCCCAACTTCCCTGTTCCAGCGTGTTAAAAGGCCCATTGTGTTCACGAAGCATCTTTCTCCGGCGAACAAACCCTTGCTTCGTTTTGGGGCACCTTGGAGGGCTGCGCCTACCTACCGCCACGTGGTTCTTTTCCAACAGGATTGTCCGGTTTGCACAAGCAATCTAATCCAGGTTGATCCAATGCAAAAACAATTGTGTGGAGCGGGCAAACTGGATTGTTCTGTTAGCTGCAAGAGGTCGGCGTGCCATGAAGGGGGTTGCGGGACGAAGGAAGGCCTAATTTTGGGCTGGGAACAGCCAACCTTGTAACACAGGCCGTGCTGAAAATATTTAGAGGTGTCCTTCTCCTGGCCAATGTATATCCCTAGCTCTCCTGTTCCTTTTTTTGCCTTGTCTCCCTGATGTGCCTTTACTTTATTGGTGGCTGCCACCCGTTGAAGATGTTCAAATCCCGGTCGCATTTCCAAAGGCAGATGGGCAGAGCGCGATCGATAGCAGGTTAAGAGAGTTCGAAGGGACCCTCGGAGGTCTTCCAGTCCAACCCCCTGCTCAAGCAGCCTCTTGGAAAACAAGCAGCCCACCCTACCCTACCCCTATACACCAAGGAACCCTTTCTTGGGAAGGAGGGAGGGAAGGAAGGAGCTGTGTTCGATCATAACAATGCTTCAAGCGGCCGGGCCCTCCCCTTCCTCGACCTCCTCCTCTTCCTCCTCCTCCTCCTCCTCCTCCTCCTCCTAGCTCTGGATGCTGCAAAATCTCCATTTGTATAACGTGCTCAGCACCTCTCTCTCTCTCTCTCTCTCATGGACTGATTCCTGCTCATGTTTGCAAGATATCCACACTGTTCTACAAAGCATGCACCTTTATGTATAGTTTCGATCTGATTTTATGGAACTCCAAAAAAAAAAAAAAAAAGGAAAAAAAAACATACTTATGCCTGTTCGCATTGCAATCAATTAAAAAATAATAATAATAATAATTATAATAAATTCCATGCCTCGTGCTTGTCCGGCCTGGTGTTTTTCAAGCTTGCTTTTAGAATTCACGCGTTAAGAGGGGCGTTTTAGCACTGCTGGGGTTTGGAGGAGACTTGCCTACCCTCCGTCAGTCTACGGATCCCCTTAATACCGTTGACATGCATTTGGCTTAGCCTGGAGTGGGGGGTGGGTGGGGGCGGCAAGGAATCTAACCCCTGTGCGGTGGTGGGTTTCGAATTTTTTTACTACCGGTTTTGTGGGTGTGGCTTGGTGGGCGTGGCATGGCTTGGTGGGCGTGGCTTGGTGGGCGTGACAGGGGAAGGATACTGCAAAATCTCCATTCCCCCTCCACTCCAGGGGTAGGATACTGTAAAATCTCCATTACCTCCCCACTCCAGGGGAAGGATACTGCAAAATCTCCATTCCCTCCCCACTCCAGGGGAAGGTTACCACAAAATCCCCATTCCCACTCCACTCCAGGGGGAGGATACTGCAACATCTCCATTCCTTCCCCACTCCAGGGGAAGGTTACTGCAAAATCTCCATTCCCTCCCCACTCCAGGGGAAGGTTACCACAAAATCTCCATTCCTACTCCACTCCAGGAGACGTATACTGTAAAATCTCCATTCCCCTCTCCTTTCGCTGCTCTTTATTCCCTATGGGAGGGGCCATCCACCGTCCACCTGTGCCTTTACTCCTGAGTCGGCCCTTGTTCCTTAGCTGTTCCCTTTTCCTGGCAACTCTGCACATGCGCACATCGGGAACAGGCTCCAGCTGTTCCTCTGCCCCACTGATATCCAACTCCAAAGGCAGCTGATAACTGTTGGACGGCCCTGGCCCTCTCTCTGCCTCCGACGCAGAGCCCTCGTCAGAGCCTTTCCCAGACTCCAGGACTGACCCTTGTTCCTCCCCAACCTCCTCACTGTCTGAGTCTGCCACCAGCTCCGCTGGCTGCTGGCGGCCCACAACAGGCCCTGCCAAGATCTCAGAAGGTTGCCGAGGGGGCCTGGATGAGATTTCAGCATGAAGAATGGATCCCCCAAAAAAGTCAAGATGCTGAAGGGATCAGGTGATTGCACATCAACAAGAAAGCTTTTCCGATTCTATGGTTTTGTCCAGGAAGCCAGTGGGTCAAGAAACATACCCACAAATGTGAATAAAACTTTCCTGTGATATATTGCAGGACTATCGGAAAATCCTACTTCACATTCACGTTCTAAGCTAGCATTTCTCAAACGTGATCATTTCAAGAGGGCTCGACTTCAACTTCCGGGATTCCCCACCCAGGCTTATGGCTTACATCCACGCCAAACCAGGGCTCGCTTAATCATGAATTAACCAGGATCGCATCATGCACACCAAACATCTAACTACAAAGACGTCCCCCCACCCCCTTTTGAGATTAGTGCAAACCGCCGAGAGTCCCTGGGAATTGGGCAGCATATAAATTATCAATATAAATCAGCGGCTCTCAACAGCCGTGTGGGAAATGACTGGGTTGAACCCGAGGGTGGGATCAAATGCCTCATCAGAATTACAGAGTTGGAAGGGACCTTGGAGGTCATCTAGTCCAACCCCCTCCTGCCCAAGCAGGAGACCCTACACCATTTCTGACAAATGGCAGTCCAGTCTCTTCTTGAAAGCCTCCAGTGATGAAGCTCCCACAACTTCTGAAGGCAACTTCTCTGTTCCATGGGTTGATTGTTCTCACTGTCAAGAAATTTCTCCTTATTTCCAGGTTGAATCTCTCCTTGATCAGTTTCCATCCATTGTTCCTTGTCTGGCCTTCAGGTGCCTTGGAAAACAGCTTGACCCCCTTCCTCCTCTCTGTGGCAGCCCCTCAAATATTCAAAGACTGCTCTCATGTCTCCCCTGGTTCTTCTCTTCACTTGACTAGCCATGCCCAGTTCTTCTTCTTCTCCTCCTTCTCCTCCTCCTCCTTTTTCTTCTCCTCTTTCTCCTTCTCCTTCCTCTTTCTCTTCTCCTCCTCCTTCTTCTCCTCCTTCTCCTTCTTCTTCTCCTTCCTCTTCCTCCTCCTCTTCTTCTCCTCCTTCTTCTCCTCCTCCTTCTCCAATATGAGAAGAATTATCCTTTCCCTTCTCTCTATTATAAAACCTTCTTCTTCTTCTTCTTCTTCTTCTTCTTCTTTTCTTCTTCTTCTTCTCCTTCTCCTCCTCCTTCTTCTTCTCCTCCTCCTCCTCCTCTTCCTCCTCCTCCTCCTCCTCTTCCTCCTTCTTCTTCTTCTCCTTCTTCTTTTTCTTCTTCTCCTCCTCCTCCTCCTTCTTCTCCTTCTTCTTCTCCTTCTTCTCTTTTTCCTCCTCCTCCTCCTCCTCCTCCTTCTTCTTCTCCTTCTTCTTCTTCTTTTTCTTCTTCTTCTTCTTCTCCTCCTCCTCCTCCTCCTCCTCCTTCTTCTTCTCCTCCTCCTCCTCCTTTCTTCTTTCCCTATGAGTCATTGACATGTATTTTGTGTTTGGGGAGGGGGGGGTGGGCTGCCCTAAAGGAGGCTCATCCAACCTCAACCGTACACAACCTGTTGTGCATTGACCGTGAAGTTGTTGCATCAGAGGTGGGGCTCAGCGGCGAAGACACCGAGCTTTCGTCGGATCAGAAAAGTCGGCGGTTCCGAATCCCTAGCACAGGTCTCTTTTGCGCGAGCAAAAGGGGGTGCCGGGCTAGACGACCTCCAAAGGTCCCTTCCAACTCAACTCTTAAAACTCTTGATAAAAAAAAAAAAAAGGTTGAGTTGAATTGAATTGAGTTGAGAGCCTCCCCCGAGGGAGGGGGGAGGAGGAGGAGGAGGAAAAACCCCTCCCGCCGCGCATGCGCAGTCCTCCCCTCGGCCTCTCCAGAGACGCTCCCCGTCAGCGGCGCGCAAGATGGCGGCGGCCGAGCGGGAGGCCTGTGAGGCGGCGGCCCAAGAGGCCTGTGAGGAGCAACGGGCGGGCCCCGGATCCGCCCAAGCCTCTTCCCCGGCTCCTCTCGGCTTGACGGAGCTTCCCGGGGAGCTTCTGGAGCTCATCCTGTGCTGCGGCTCGCTGGGCGCCTCCGACCTGGGCCGCCTGTCCTGCACCTGCCGCCACCTCAGGGAGGCCTGCCAGCCCCGCGGGAAGGTCTGGAGGGAGCAGCTGCGGCGCAGGTGGGTGGGCGGGAAAAGAGGCAGGCGGGGCCCCTGGGCGTGGGCAGAGTGCGGGGTGGGGGGGGGGAGAGAGAGAGAGAGGGAGAGCAGGCCGGGGGGGGGAGGAAGGGGGAGCTTACGGGTTGCCCCAGGGTGTCTGGGCATGTGCAGAGTGCAGGGATACAAGAGGAGTGTCCAGGTTTGGCACTACAGGTGCAACAGAGTGTCTGGGCATGTGCAGAGTGCAGGGGTAGAGGAGGAGGGGTTACTCCCAACCAGGAGGGGCTTCCAGATTTTGCACAACGGGTGCATCAGGGTGTCTGGGCATGTGCAGAGTGCAGGGATACAAGAGGAGTGTCCAGGTTTGGCACTACAAGTGCAACATAGTGTCTGGGCATGTGCAGAGTGCAGGGATACAAGAGGAGTGTCTAGGTTTGGCACTACAGGTGCATCAGGGTGTCTGGGCATGTGCAGAGTGCAGGGATACAGGAGGGGCTTCCAGGTTTTGCACAACGGGTGCATCAGGGGGTCTGCGCATGTGCAGAGTGCAGGGATACAGGAGGGGCTTTCAGGTTTGGCACTACAGGTGCATCAGGGTGTCTGGGCATGTGCAGAGTGCAGGGGTAGAGGAGGGGGATTACTCCCAACAGGAGGGGCTTCCAGGTTTGGCACTACAGGTGCATCAGGGTGTCTGGGCATGTGCAGAGTGCAGGTGTAGAGGAGGGGATTACTCCCAACCAGGAGGGGCTTCCAGGTTTGGGCACAACGGGTGCATCAGGGTGTCTGGGCATGTGCAGAGTGCAGGGATACAAGAGGAGTGTCTACGTTTGGCACCATGGGTGCATTAGTGTGTCTGGGCATGTGCAGAGTGCAGGGATACAAGAGGAGTGTCCAGGTTTGGCACAATGGGTGCATTAGGGTGTCTGGGCATGTGCAGAGTGCAGGGATACAGGAGGCCTTCCAGGTTTTGCACAATGGGTGCATCAGGGGGTCTGGGCATGTGCAGAGTGCAGGGATACAAGAGGAGTGTCCAGGTTTGGCACCACAGGTGCAACAGAGTGCCTGGGCATGTGCAGAGTACAGGGATAGAGGAGGAGGTTACTCCTAAACAGGAGGCGTGTCCAGGTTTTGCACATGGGTGGTGTCTGGACATGTGCAGAGTGCGGGGGTAGAGGAGGGGTTTACTCCCAACCAGGAGGGGCTTCCAGGTTTTGCCCCATGGGTACAGCAGTGTGCCTGGGATAGAGGAGGGGTTACTCCCAAACAGGAGGGGCTTCCAGGTTTTGCACATGGGTGGTGTCTGGGCATGTGCAGAGTGCAGAGGTAGAGGACGGGGTTACTCCCAACCAAGAGGAGCCCCAGGGTGTCTGGGCATGTGTAAAGGGCGACGGGGGCAAGTAGGAGGAGAAGATGTCCCAAGTCCAAAGAAGCTGCCTTGTTTTGCAGCTCGTGATGCACCAGGAATGGAGAGGTTGGTAAGCGATGCTTCTGGGCATGGCCAGGAACAGAGCAACGAGGCTTCTGAGCATGGGCAGAGGGCTTGGGGGGGGGGAAGGAGGACGGATGGAATCCCAGCTAGGAAAAGCTGGGTTTGCAGCATGCGATGCATCGGGGTGTCAGGTCGGAAACGGGGTGTTTCTGGTCATGTGCAGAGAGCCTGGTGCAAAGAGGAGGGTGATGCCCCAAGCCAAAAGGATTTCCCTGTTTTGCAGCACACGGCTAGGATGCCAAGGGATGCCTCTGGGCATGGGCAGAGGGCAAGGAGGGGGGGCCTGAACGAATAGTCATAACTTGAGGATCTGTCTGGACGAATCAAAATTCTGTTCCTAAACTAAATGACATGACAAGCGTGGCCTTGGGAGTTTGAAACCCTCCCCCGAATACAGGCAGTCCTTGACTTACAACGTTTCATTTAGTGACCGATCAAAGTTACAACGGCCCTGAAAAAAAGGGACTTACGACCATTTTTCACCCTTAACAACCTTTGCAGCATCTAAATGATCGTGTCATCCAAATTCACAACGCTTGGCAACTGTTGCGTACTTACGACAGTTGAAGTGTCCTGGTGTTGCGTGATCCCCATTTGCAACCTGGCAAGCAAAGTCAATGGGGAAGCCAGATTCACTTAACAACCGGATGACTAAACTTATCCGCCGCGGTGATTCACTTAAAAAAACTGTGGCAAGAAAGATCGTAAAATGAGGCAACTTAACGAATGTAACAGAAATGTTGAGCTCGGTTGTGGTCGTAAGTCGAGGATCACCTGTAGATGCCAACCACCTGCCCCGAAGCCACTTTTAAAATATCTTTTTTCATGCTTCATTTTTTTTTAGTGCTTCAGAGATTAGAATGACTCAATCCTGTTGGCCTTTTTCAAGGCTTTTAAAAACTTGGCTGTGTAACTCAGGCCTGGAGCTCCGAATGTGTTATTTGGCTGTACCGTTAGATGATGAATCATCATGGTTGCTGTTTGTGGATGTTTTTACTGTTTTAATGTCTCTTTTTGATTGTTTTATAATTTTAGAAGTGTAAACTGCCCAGAGTCACTTGTTGAGTTGGGCGGCTACAGAAATTGAATGAATGAATGAATAACAGAACAGAATGATGAGAGTTGGAAGGGACCCTTGGAGGTCTTCTAGTCCAACCCCATGCCCAGGCAGGAAACCCTACACCACCTTCAGACAAATGGTTAACCAACATTTTCTTAAAAACTTCCAGTGTTGGAGCATTCACAACTTCTGGAGGCAAGTTGTTCCACTGATTAATTGTTCTAACTCTCGGGAAATTTCTCCTTAGTTCTAGGTTGCTTCTCTCCTGGATTAGTTTCCACCCATTGCTTCTTTGCTTTCAATTTATTTTTATTTTTAAACAAACACTTCATCACTAATCAATCAGTGTAACATCTAGGTATAAAATTTTTTGTGTCGTCATATTCAACATTTGTCATCACTTTCTTAGTACATATTTATATATCTTCTTACATTTAAATTTAATGTATTACAACATATTTTCCCCATGTTTCTTATTTTTACATTGTCTACTTTCTATATTCAGTCTCTATCCATTGATAAAATTGCCCCCATATGTTGTAATACTCCGATTCTTCCTTCCCTCTAATTGCTAATGTTAATCTACTCACTTCTGCCCATTCTAATATTTTCTTAATTAGCTCTCCCTTTGTAGGAATTTTTTCTGCTTTCCAATTTTGTGCAAATACCATTCTTGCTGCCGTTATTACATATATAATCAAATATGTATTTTCTTTACTGAATTTCTCCGGTAAGATACCCAACAGGAACAGCTTCCCATCCTTTGCTCCTTATGAAACATACATACATATATACATACATACATACAACCCTACTAGATTATCATTTACCTAGCTATTCTCTCTGACTTCAAAAGCTCTTTCTGCTGAGTCGCCAGTGACACGTATCCTAGTTAAAAATTCAGAGAGAGAATGTTTTTTATCCATCCTTTTTAATAGGCATCTGGTTGTCCACGCTTATAAACTTTTTTTTATTATTAGTTTACTATCTGGAGTTGACAAAAGGCAGTGTTTGTGAGGAATGCTTCCAATAACTGACTTTGCCATTCCCAAAGCTGCTATTGTTTCTTTTCCTTTTTTTTTCCCCCCCCCCCCCTGTATCTGCTTGCTTTCATCTCGGCCTTACGCAGTTCCTTTTCAGTGAAAGATGAATTTGGTGGCACGAAGGCCAGCGAGCGCCAAATGACTCTTTGCCTGGAATACGGTCGCTTCTCACACACGGCTGCATTATTACTGCAACTGTTTATTTTAAGGCAGCGGGGTAGAGAATAATTCCTCCAACCGAAATTTGCAAGGAGAGGATTTAAAAGCCCTCCCGATGTAATTACTTCAAATGGAGCCCGGCCCAAAGGAACAGGTCCATAACTCTTCGCCTGCCAGAAAGTCTCCGCGCTCAAAGAAACGGCTGCTTTTGGAAGGCAGGCCTCCGTTCTCACCAGCCCACACGGTTGGATCCGAATCTTTGGATGGTCCAATTTGGCTGCTGGCAGGCTAAAGCCTCATCTCTGAATCGCGGACGCCGCTTGGAAGCAAACTCAGAGTTTTTTAGCTTGCTGAACTCGCCGATGGTTCGGCCTCTTCTGCAGGTGCAGACGGGGATATCTGCTTCCTTTGAACTGTTCGTTCGGAGTTTTACAAGCCAACTGGCAGTTGGGAAAAGGGGGGGGGGATTTTTATTTATTTATTTTTTAAAAAGCTTGTCTTCCTTTGCCAAGACATGAACAAAAGCCAGGCAGCCGGCAAACTTCCCCTTCTCCCTGGAAGAGAAAATTTACATATATCTCTTTCCAGCTCTCTTGTCATTATTGACTCTGCAAGTGTTAATGCAAATGCTTGCGAGTTGTACTTCGCTCTCCAGCAGGGAAAGAAAGAGAGATATCGGTAAAAGTCCTGAACTAAAAAGCAAAAAAAAAAACTCCAATGACAGTACATTGTGTGGCATCATTGCAAGCTTCTGTAGATATGGTGATGTGGTTTATTTGAGTTGTCTGTGGAGATTCTCAGCCCTCCAGGTCATGGTTGTTTGTTTTGTTTTATTATTAAATTATTATTAAATTAAATATTATTAAGTTGTCCCAAAAGTGCTTTTTTTTTCCCTTGAAGACGTTTCACTTCTCATCCCAGAAGCTTCTTCAGCTCTGACTGGGTTTATTTGAGGCGCATCCTTTTATTTATTAAAAAGGTTTATGTGGCCATCCAGATTGAATCATGGCTCTTTAGCCCATGGACCGAGTCATAAAATAAATTAAGCAGAATTTGGTGCATTGGATTGCCTTAATCCAGTGGCTTCTTTTAGAACATTCACGTAGTATTCAGTCACACCAGTGGTGAAATCCAATTTTTTTTTTTACTACCGGTTCTGTGGACGTGACTTGGTGGGCGTGGCAGGGGAAGGATACTGCAAAATCTCCATTCCCACCCCACTCTGGGACCAGCCAGGAGTGATATTTGCCGCTTCTCTGAAATATTCAAAATTTCCGCTACCGGTTCGTCAGAACCTGCTGGATTTCACCCCTGAGTCACACGTGTATATGGCCTCTCTTTCCCTTTGACCTAGCCATTATAGGGGTTTCTAAAAAAGATTGTTCATCTGCTGCACTTTTGAATGAACAGTTGATGGGAAAGGGAGAAGGAATCGGTGGCTGCCCACGAATAACATCATTAAGCTGTTTATTTTATGTAATTAGAAGGTTCTGTCATTGAGGAGGACATGGTGGGTCTGTTAACTGGTCGGGAAACCCAAAATAACAGCTCTGCGGAGCTGAGTGGAAGACGATTGTTTCCATACTAAGCCATTTGTTCAGGCTCAGCAGCCAACTTTGGAAAAATTTCCCCATCTTTCCCCCCCCCCCCCTTCCTGCTCACCCAAATTCAGCGGGCACTCTCTACTGCAGTGTTTCTCAATCTTGGTGACTTTAAGATGGGTGGACTTCAACTCCCGGAATTCTAGGAGTTGAATTCCACGCATCTTAAAGCTGCCCTGGCTAAAGAAACACTGCTCTACTGTTACTTTTGGTAGATGGGCAACTAAGTAAACTTTTTTTTAAAAAAAAAAATCTCTACAGCAAATCTAAAATAAATGGGTAAACTTTCCCGCCTCCCCCTAATCTGCTAATAAAGGATAACCTTGGTTTGGTCTGCCCAACGGTTAGCCTTTTGTTCAGATTTTTAATTACCGTGTGTCGACTGGAGATGAGAATTTTTTGTTCGGTTTGTCTTTCTCTGACGCAGGTGGCCTTCCTTAATGAAATACTACAATCAGGCAGACAGTGTGAATTGGCTGGAGCAATACAAAGAACGGCATAAAGCAGGACTGAAAGCCCAAACGGTCGTCGCCTCGTTTTCCAAAAGGTTCTTTTCAGAGCACGTAAGATTTTTCTGCTTGATCTTGCAAATAAAATCAAATGTATTGTTGTTACCTCTTTGTACAGCAAACCGGCCAGGGAATTCTGGGGTTTAAAGTCCACCTGTCTTAAAGCACGTTGGCTGGGGGATCCTGGGAGTTGAGGCCCACCCATCTTAAAATAAACTGGCCAAGGGATTCTGGGAGTTGAAGTCCACCCTCTTAAAGCATGCTAGCTGGGTGAACCTGGGAGTTGAAGTCCACCCATCTTAAAGCACGCTGGCCAGGGGATTCTGGGAGTTGGTCCACCCATCTTAAAGTTGCCAAGATTGAAAAACTCTGGTCTAAGCACCTTCCTCCTGTCTTTCGAAGGCCGTTCCCACAGATCTTACACCTGGGGATAAAATGGAGATTGCTACCTGGAGCTCCTGGATATCAAATCTTAAGAATAATCACATGTCGAGAATGCAAGCAGTCCTCAACTTATGACCATTTGTTCAACAACTGAGGGCCTCCTCCATCCCCAAAGGAACCGCATGGTCCACATAATGACCACAACGGGGAGAGCCAGGATTGTGTGGACACCTTGCTTAATGACCACAACAACTTATGACCATAATTCTGGGTTCAATTGTGGTTATAAGTCGAGGACTACCTGTAATTTTAAAAATATAGGCATGTGCCCCATGAATCAAAGAATCAGTTTGGGGCTCCCAAACATGGAAACTCTGCCCCACCACCACAATAATTTAAGCAGCTTTGCTTCAAACTCTTAACAGGTTTCATTGGGGCTTGCAGAAGTCAAATCTGCTAAAGTGCTTTCATTCATTCATTCATTTAGAAAATTTATATTGCTGCCTACTCACACATGGCGACTCAAGGCGGCTTACAAGGACATCTTGTTCAACAGGTGGTCTTTTTTCCTTTTAATAACAACGAACCAATCAAACAGCAACAGTGTGTCTGATTATTCTTGAGGTTCTTCTATAGAAAGCTTCTTTAGCAGTGGAATAATTGCCCTGTTTTTTTTCCATTTAGGTGCCCTGTGATGGCTTCACTGATATCGAGACTCTTGATTGCCCCAGCCATTTCTTTGAAGATGAGCTGATGTCCATTCTTAATACAGGAGGCAGGTGAGGCTGAGTCTAAAAACCCTAGGAAAGAACATTTGGCTGTTTCTTCAGGGTGCGTAACATACACATCGACTTTACGTTTTATTTTTAAAAAATTACACTTGTATGTCCTGCCTGTTCTCCAAGGTGCTCAAAACCAGCCTACCTATCTTGCTAGCAAACCTTTTGAGGTAGATTCAGCTGAAAAAGCATGATACACCTTACAAGAATTAAGAATTCCTCTGTATACCACACGAGAACTCTCATTCTCATAACCTTTAACTGCGCGAAATGATGCCTCACAGGGCAACGGTTTTTGAACCGAGGTACCTCAAATGGGTTGACTTACAGGAGGCATCCAAAATCCTGGGCTCTCGTTTGGCAAATTTTATAAAACATTGTATGACACACATCATACAAAACGTCATAAAAGATCTCCTGTGCTGATGTTTGATTGGGCTGCCCAGTTCAACGGGCTCCTTTCAAGGCAGATGCATCACTGAATATCTGCTTGAATATTTTAAGAATTGTTCTGGTACGTTAGAAGCTCTTCCATTGTTGAAGGCATTGAGGGATCTGGCAAGAATATCTCTCTGAAAGGATGATCCAAGGGGCCACAAGTTGGATGGGATCTAACCACTTTTAAGTTAAATAGCCAAACGAAAACTTTTCATGTGTATTTTGTGAAAATATTTCAGATATATAGCTCCCAAGTCTGCAGGGTGGGGATTGTTTTTAAATGGAACTGCAATTCTGTGGTGGAGCAATGGTTAGAATGCAGCATTGCAGGCTAACTCTGCCCACTGACAGCAGTTCGATCCTGACTAGTTCAAGGTTGACTCAGCCTCCCATCCTTCCGAGGTCGGTAAAACGAGGATCCAGATTGTTGGGGGCAAGAGGCTTGTAATCTGCTTAGAGGGGGCTATAAAGCACTATGAAATGATATATATCTTATTGCTATTGCTATTTTCTGTAAGCTTCCTATCATAAGTTGATATCATGATCCAACAATGAAATTATCTTTATAAACAAACAAAAAATGCTAATATTTTAATAAAAACCTGCTTTTCTCTCTGGGCTCTTGGTTGACTTTCCTGTTTTATGTCTAAAATCACTTTTAAACATTTGTCTAGGATTCCTCCTTACAATCTTAGTGTTTTCCACTCTTGGTGTTTTACATTTTTATTATCAAACCTCTGCTGCTCATCTTGCTCACCATGGTGGCTTCCTTTACTCTGCAGGAAAGGGCTGACCTGGAAGTACTATGCAAAGAAAATTCTTTACTTCCTGCGGCAACAGAATATTTTAAAGAAACTGAAGACTTATCTTGAGTACTCAGCAGATGAGCAGTCCTTTTTAGAAGGTTAGTAATGTCCTAGAAAAGTTGACGTGGACACAGTGTAACATTTGTAAGACTGTAAGACACATTTATAGGAAATAACAGGGACTCTGTGTCTCAGTGGCTAAGATGCTGAGCTTGTTAATCGAAAGGTCGGCAGTTCAGCGGTTCGAATCCCTAGTGCCACGTAACGGGGTGAACTCCCGTTCCTTGTCCCAGCTTCTGCCAACCTAGCAGTTCGAAAGCAGGTAAAAAAAGCAAGTAGAAAAATAGGGATCACCCTTGGTGGGAAGGTAACAGCATTCCATGTGCCTTTGACGTTGAGTCATGCCGGCCACGTGACCACGGAGACGTCTTCGGACAGCGCTGGCTCTTTGGCTTTGAAACGGAGATGAGCACCGTCCCTTAGAGTCGAGAACAACTAGCACATATGTGCGAGGAGAACCTTTACCTTTAAGATTTATTTTTATTTATTTATTTAATTTAATTTATATGCCGCCCTATCTCCGTAGGACTCAGGGCGGCTCACAACAATAAAATATCCGAATAAAAGCGTGTTAAAATACATGTTAACCCCCCCTTCCCCCCCAGTCCAGGCTGAAGATACACTTGAAGGAAACAACATTTGAAGAATTGTAACAAAATAAGACACAAAAATAAGACAGAAGGATTACTTAAAGGAATAGGAGAGTAGCATAGATGATTCTGAAACTGAAGAGGAAAGAAATTTCAAAGAGCAGTGAAAAACAGACGACTTTCAGTGAAAAATGACTCTGTTAAAAGTTAAAAATTTTAAATGTTAAAATATATCCATTGGAACTCTGAATATTTTCACACTGAGGTTGGTCAGCCAACTTTAATTCAGTGTTTCTCGAGGAGAACCAGTTTAAGATATAGGGATGCTAGCTGGAGAATTTTTGAAGTTTAAGTCTACACAACATAAACTGGTTGAAGTTGAAAAACATTGCTCTAGTTTGATTTCATGCACCTACATTAGTGGGCCCTTCACCTAAATGTCTGCTCTGTGACACTATTATTCTGTGTAAAAACGATGTTTCCACTTAGGATTGTAGTCTATCCTACCTATTTTATGTAGATAGATAGTTTGTAGTCTTTCTTATCTACAGTGAGACAGATAGAGCCATGGTGGCCCAGTAGCTAGAATGCAGTATTACAGGCTAACTACCCATAGCCAGGGGTTCAATTCTGACTGGCTCAAGGTTGACTCAGCCTTCCTGTCAGATCTAGAAGCCATATTTTTCGTTGGACCTTCAGGCCTGCCACATTTACTGCTGTGGGAAACTGGGAGGGGGGATTGTATGGAACTTGGGTGATATATAGTCATAATAACATTCCTTTCTCAGAGAGTCAAGGACATCTTGCCCTGCCCCTGGAAGGCTGGAACTGGGAGGCATCTCCAGTTGGGATGGTGCTTTGATTGGATCATGCGATGGACATGTGGCAGGGACATGAACTTTCCTTTGGGTGGGGAAAACCTGGAAATTTTCAGATTCGGGTTTTCCCAGATATGCCAATATGACATCTCTAATAGAATGTAACTTTGAGGAAACTCAAGCCTCGGAGTTTTCTTTCGTTTGGGGTGTTACTTGGAATCCTGACACTTCCATCCTTCTGAGGTCAGTAAAATGAGGACCCAGATTGTTGGGGGGGCAACACGCTGACACTGTAAACCGCTTAGAGAGGGCAGTAAAGCACTGTGAAGCGGTGTATAAGTCTACTTGCTATTGCTATCTGCCCTCCCAAACCCATGTCCTGGATCTCCTGTCTTTTCCTAGGGGCCGTGCTGGTTGACCAATACTGTAACCCTTTGTCGGACATCTCCCTCAAGAGTATCCAAGCTCAGATTGATGACATTGCTGCTAAAGTGTGTAAATTTCTCAAATCCAAAAACTCCAGGCATCCCACTGTGGACCGAAAAGCAGGTATGGCATTAAGCACAGTTCTCGTGGGCCAGTTTTTTCTGCTATGAAATGTGGTAGGCGGTCTTGACAACAAATTTTGGATCTGACACATTGGTAAGTTTAACCCATAAATGAGTAACTTGGATTATCGACATTAACTTGGCATGGGTGACTAGTTAACTTCCAGAGTTCCCCAGCCAGTATGGTTGATGCTGAGCATTCTGGGATTTGAAGCCCACGCATCTAAAAGTTGCTGAAGTTGGGAAAATAACAGATGTGACTGGACAGCAGCTTCCAGCAGCATGAAATCCAGCAGAGTAGAGCATGCTGGGAGTTGTCATTCAGCCACACCTGAAGAGCATAGGTTGACTCCGCCTTCTATCCTTCTGAGGTCGGTGAAATGAGGACTCAGATTGTTGGGGGGCAATAACTGACTCTGTAAACCGCTTAGAGAGGGCTGTAAAGCATTATGGAGTGGTATATAACTTAAGTGCTATTGCTCAGTGGGAAGGGAAGGGAAGAGGAGGGAGGAAGGAAGGAAGGACAGACCATGGTGGCACAGTGGTTAGAATGTAGTATTGCAGACTAACTCTGCTGGCTGCCAGCAGTTCGATCGTGAGCGGCTCAAATGAGGTAAAATGAGGACCCAGATTGTTGGGGGCAAGAGGCTGACTCTGTAAACTGCTTACAGAGGGCTGTAAAGTACTTTGAAGCGATATATAAGTCTAAGTGCTATTGCTAAGTGCTATAATGTGTCTATCCTCTTGATAGTTTTGTGGAAAAACAGGAAGAAGAAAGGTTACCTACTCCAAAGGGAGAGGTAAACTATCCAACTAAGAATTGCCTTCGCTAGTTTAAATAAATAAACCAAACGGGACGATGTGGTGGAAACTCTCGTCGCTTTATTTTATTTCTTTATTACATTTTTATGCTGCCCGTCTCGGTTACAAGGTCCCTTTGGGGGCCCATCATCCTCTTTATCAGCCCGACTGGCTTTGCTGAGAAAACTTGGTGGAGGGGGCGACAACGCTAAGGGAAGAAAGACGAGGTACAAATGAATAAGAACATTTCCTTTCTATTATTTTCGTTGCCTTTCATTTTTTTTTAGGAGAGGTCTTGATCGTCTCTCAGGTGGAGCTGCAGAGGCAGGTTCTGGATGCCATGAACTGCATCCTCTACGAGCAGTTGAAGTACCGAGGGAACGAAGTGGATTATTACAATTGTCAGAATTCATACATCCATCAGGTAAGGCGTTCGCTTTGACCAGGCAAGGACATATTTTTAGCCTGTATTTCAGTTTTCAATTCAATTCAGTGTATTGCAGTCATACTGTCAGACCTGGAAGCCATATTTTTACCTTTGTGCCTTCAGGCCTGCCACGAATCCTACTGTGGGAAAATGGGAGGGGGGGTTGTATGGAGTGAAGATGATAGGTAGTCAAAATAACATTCTTTCCAAAAAGTCAAGGCCACTCTTCCCTGCAGCTGTGCTGAGAAGAATGAGGAGGTATCTTCTGTTCCGGAGGGTACCTGATTGGTTCATGTGATGGACATGTGGGTGATGGGCAAGGTCTTGAACTTTCTTTTGGGTGTGGAAAACCCCGAAGCTCTCGGATTCGGGTTTTCCCAGGTGTGCCAATATGACATCTCTAATAAAAGTTAGCTTTGAGGAACTTCAGGCCTCGGAGTTTGATTTCGTTGGGGGTGTTTCTTGGAACCCTGACACATAGACCAGAGACCAGAACAAATAAAAACACTCCGTAAATATACAATTAAAAAATTCTAGTATAAAATAGAAAATTACAATCCATAAAATGTGTGGCCCATTGTAGGTTCAATGCTAAAAGGGAAATGACTAAGCAGTGCAAAGGGTTTGCCACAATTGTTCTATAACATCACTGTGGTGGAGAAGATAACGTGTTTGCGATGAATCCCCAGTGCTTCTGTGCAGAATCTAGCCATCTGCCCTGTAGTTATGTTCTGTTCATCCTTAAGCAGCCAGTGGCCAGGATACCTAGCAATTATTGGCAGAATATGAGAGATATTTCAATTTGGAATATTGTTCAGTTTGATGGGCACATAATCCTTGATTTATGACTGGCGTCTTAATACTTCAAAGTACCACATGGGGTACTTACACAATCCCAGTTCAAAGTTCTGATGGTCACATACCGTTCCCCCCCCCCTTGGTCACATGACCACATTTGTGGGCGCTCAGCAACCAGCCTGCATTTACGGCTCTGTTACGGTCGTAACTCAAGGATTATGTACACTGAGAGCATGCACCAAGATAAATTCCTTGTGTGTCCAATCACACTTGGCTAATAAAGAATTCTATTTTATTCTGCTCTGCTCTGCTCTGCTCCTTATTTCTATTCTATTCTATTCTATTCTATTCTATTCTACTCTACTCTACTCTACTCTACTCTACTCTACTCCTACTCCTACTCCTACTCCTACTCCTACTCCTACTCTACTCTAGTCCTTATTTCTATTCTATTCTACTCTACTCTACTTTTTATTTCTATTCTATTCTACTCTAGTCCTTATTTCTATTCTATTCTACTCTACTCTACTCTTACCATATCCTCAGATCTATTGGCATAAAATGTATGCAGTAAGCTCTCCCAAGCATACTCCAGTTCCAGATCCAAGGAGCAGCCAAAACTTCTCCTTCTTCTCCCAAAGGTGCTTTTTCAAGAGGCAACTGGACTTTCTTGGTTTTTTCCTTGAAGACGTTTCGCTTCTCACCCAAGAAGCTTCTTCAGCTCGTGAATAAGCTTCTTGGATGAGAAGCGAAACGTCTTCAAGGAAAAAACCAAGGAAGTCCAGTTGCCTCTTGAAAAAGCACCTTTGGGGCAACCAGGACCTGGATGACCGAGAATCTCCACAGACTTCTCATTCTTCTCTCTTCCCTTCAGGTTTTGATTCGCAGGACCGGAATCCCAATCAGCTTGTCGGTGCTGTATTTGACGATTGCCAAGCAGTTGGGCGTCCAGCTCGAGGCGGTCAATTTCCCCAGTCACTTTCTGCTCAGATGGTGCCAGGGAAAAGAAGGGTAAGCATTATTTCCCCCACCTACCCCTTCCGTTCCACTTCTGTGCAATTCCTCCCCGGGCGAGCGGGAAGGAAGACTTTTAAGTCAACACTACATTTAAACATCCCAGGTTGCAATTCTCTTGTTAAGCTGTGCCAGACGATGAAGTCATAGGGGAAAAAAAAATGAGGGGTATAAATGTATTTCTTTCCATGAAAGAAAAATGGCGGTGCTCAGTTAGAAAGACCCTGTTACTTACTAATAGAGAAATCCGTCATCGCGAGCATCGTTCCTACCATCTCATTAACTCCGGGAGGAGAGGTTGGCGTGGGAACGGAAAGCTATCAATCCAGCCCTCCAAGAGCTCTCACTCGATGTTACAAGGCTGATGAGGACACAGCTGTCTGGAAGGAAAAGAAAGCAGCTTTTTACTCGTAGGCCGCTCGTGACGCTTTCAGAATCCCTATCGGTTCTCTTTATCGTTTTAAGCGGCGCCATTTCACACCGTCCAGCCTCATGGCAGGAGATGCAACCCTTTGACTTCTTTTGCAAAGCCTCCATTGAAAGCTTCAAAACGGCACTTGAGTTCAGCCGCCTGAAGGGCTAAAAAAAATGAAGAGATGGGCTTTCTGTTAGCCCTGCAGAATAGTATGGGAGTACTAGCTCTATATTAGACAGGTGGCTCAGTGGCTAAGATGCTGAGCTTGTCAATCGAAAGGTTGGCAGTTCAGCGGTTCGAATCCCTCGTGCCGCGTAACAGGGTGAGCTCCCGTGACTTGTCCCAGCTTCTGCCAACCTAGCAGTTCAAAAGCAGGTAAAAACTGCAAGTAGAAAAATAGGGACCCCCTTTGGTGGGAAAGGAACAGCTTTCCGTGAGCCTTTGGCATTGAATCATGCTGGCCACATGACATAAATGAGGCGGTTGTTAAGTGAATTTTTGCCTCTTTTTACGACCTTTCTCGACACTGGTTAAATCAATCACTGCAGTTTTAAAGTTAGTGAAGTGAATTTGGCTTCCCCATTGATTTTGCTTGTCGGAGTGGTGCGGGTGGCCTAGAGGTGGAGCTCTCGCCTCACCATCAGGAGGCTGTGAGTTCAATCCTAGGTAGAGGCAGGTATTTCTCTCTCGGGACATGATGAGAATATATCTGCTGAACAAAACTCCGCATTGGCGACAGGAAGGGCATCCGGCCAGTAAACATTCAGCTCCAGTCAGTTGGCCAAGACTCCACCCCACATAACCCACAAGGGGTTATGGGGTCCTTAAAAGAGGATGATTGATTTTGCTTGTCAGAAGGTTGCAAAAGGACATGACCCAGGGCACTGCAACCATCATAAATATATGCCAATTGCCAAGCATCCAGATTTTGATTGTTTGACCATCGGATACTACAACGGTGGTAAGTGTGAAAAACGGTCATAAGCCACTTTTTTCAGAGCTGGTGTAACTTCGGTCACTAAATGAACTGTTGTATGTCGAGGACTAGTTGTATTTCTCCCCTTCCTCCTTTCCTTCTCCCCTCTGGAAAACTAGGGTAGGGTCCTGTCAGGCACCAGAGATGATGAGCAGAAGCATGATCAGAAACGAATTCCCCCTCTGGTTTCGTTTTTCTTTCGTCAGGAGCACAAATATCTTTGACTACACATACATCGATGCTTTTGGGAAGGGGCGGCAGCTGACGGTCAAAGAATGTGAATACTTGATTGGGCACCATGTGACGGAGGAATTTTATGGCGTGACAACAGCCAAAGAGGTTCTGCAGCGAATGGTGGGCAACCTGCTAAATATTGGAAAGAGGTAAGAATCTAGGAAAGATTCCATTCGCATTAGCAGTTCCGTTGCATTAGAGGAGGTCCAAATCCTCATTAACCATGTAGGTCCAAGTCCTCACTTGACTGTTGAGGTCCAAGTTCTCATTGACCATGGAGGTCCAGATCCTCATTAACTATGGAGGTCCAAGTCCCCATTGACCATGGAGGTCCAAGTCGTCATTAACTATGGAGGTCCAAATCCTCATTGACCATGGAGGTCCAAGTTCTCATTTGACTATGGAGGTCCAGATCCTCATTAACTATGGAGGTCCAACCCCCCATTGACCATGGAGGTCCAGATCTTCATTGACCATGGAGCTCCAGATCCTCCTTAACCATGCAGGTCCAAGTCCTCACTTGACTATGGAGGTCCAAGTCCTCACTTGACTATAGAGGTCCAAGTTCTCATTGATCATGGAGCTCCAGATCCTCATTAACTATGGAGGTCCAAGTCCTCATTGTCCATGATGATCCAAGTCCCCATTAACCATCAGGTCCAAGTTCTCACTTGACCATGGAGGTCCAGATCCTCATTAACTATGGAGGTCCAAGTCCTCATTGACCATGCAGGTCCAAGTTCTCATTTGACTATGGAGGTCCAGATCCTCATTAACTATGGAGGTCCAAGTCCTCACTTGACTATGGAAGCCCAACTCCCCACATGACCATGGAGAAATTGTGGTGCTCCACTACTGGAGGCTCTTAAGAAGAGACTGGATAGCCATTTGTCAGGAACACTATAGCGTGGAGACCCAATACTCTTCCAGACAATTGTCCATCCAGTCTCTTCTTGAAAGCTTCCAATGAGCAGAGGGTTGGACTAGAAGACCACCAAGGCCCCTTCCAGCTTTGTTATTCTCTTATTGTTACAGAACACAGAAGGGTAGTTAAAAAAGGCAGCAACATTTGAGCGAACCGTTGAAAGAAACGTCAAAACAATAGCAGAACCTCTTTGACAGTGAAAGAAAGGACTAGTTGTGTCATAGCTCTTGACCAGCGGCAACGTATAAGCAACAACATTAATTATGCATTTGATGCAAGGTCTCGGTTGGTGACTTGTCAGCTGGTCAGCGAATGGTCAGCAAATGGTGTAGTTAATTGACAGTGGGACATCACGGTAGATGATGGTAAATGTTATCTATGAAAACATGACTTTGATTTGAATGTGTTGCTGTCTGTTTGCTAGGGAAAGCACTGACCAGTCATACCAGCTCCTGAGAGACTCTTTGGACTTGTATTTGGCCATGTATCCGGACAACGTCCAGCATCTAATGCTCCAAGCGAGACTCTATTTTCACCTGGGAATCTGGCCAGAAAAGGTACTTTGGTGAGGCATCCGATGCATGAAATAATCAAAAGAGATGGATGGATGTTGCTTGGAGTGGTGCGGTGGCCTAGAGGTGGAGCTCTCACCTCACAATCAGGAGGCTGTGAGTTCGATCCTGGGTAGAGGCTGATATTTCTCTCTCTCTGCGCACACAGAGAATATATCCACGGAACAAAACTCCACATTGGTGACAGGAAAGGCATCCGGCCATTAAAACACTCTTGCTAGCTCCATTCAGTTGCCCAGACTCCACCCCGCAAGGGATTATGGGGCTGTTAGAAGATGATAATGATGGATGGATGTTGCTTTTCCTAAAGAGCTTAATTGTCTCTCCTTCTCCTTTCTCTTCCCTTTTGAAAAATTGGAGCTTGTTGAACTTTGTATTTTGTTTGTACTTGTAATACAAACTCAGTTTGTATTTTTGATAGCCCCAGTACTTGCTTCTCTTAATTGGCCAAACTCCTACAAACCTTAAAACCATTGTTGGCAAGCACTGTCCTATAAAATTCTCGAATATATATATATATATAACGGAAACTTTGAGGAAACTCGAGCCTCAGAGTTTTCTTTTGTTGGGGGTGTTCCTTGGAACCCCGACAGTCTGTTTGCTTTGATTTTACTGCTGTTATTTTAGCCGTTCGTTTCTTTGCGTAACGTATCTTTTTTTTTTAATCATTTGTTGCCTTTTCTGTATAATCCAGCTATGTTTTTCTTGCAGGATGTGGTTTTTTTTGTTTTAAATTAACAGTTGCCAGGTTGTATCTTATGTCGCTGAAAAAACAAAGAACAAATTCAGCTCTGGGTTATTTAACTTATCATTTGGGGCTGGGCAATAATTAGTATTTTGTGTGTTTTACTCTTTTGAACCGTCATCAGAGGACAGTATATCCAGAAGGGCAGTTTTAAAAAAAAAACAACTACATAAATTCAGATAAACTTCGCTCACCTTTGGACTAAAATAGCCATTTTTAGAATTAGAACCTGTCTCTAAATCAGAAAACACAGTTTCTATCTCCTATTCTAACTCTATCCTTTTGTAAATATTTTACTAAATAAAATGAGAAAGGGGGAAAAAATCCAGGAATATTGGTTTAAGCTTCAATCCATTGTATTATGATTAACCTTTTTTTTTTAATTAACTTATAAAAAGAGTGTCAAAAAGGAAATATATAGAATTTCAGGTACACAGCTACGGGTAGTTCTTCATTTACAATGGATTGCTTAGTGACTGTTCAAACTTAAATGGGCACCCCCTCCCCAAAAGAGGTACCAACAACCCGGATTTGAAACTCTGGAGGTAGCTGTCCCAGGTCACATGACTGCATTGTGAGCACTTGTCAACCAATCTGCATTTATGGCTTTTTGCAGTGTTCTCCAGTCATGTGACTGCAACTTATTGGGTGTTTTTTTCCCCCTCCTGCAAATCAGAATTTACTTCTGTTTTATGGGGAAAAAACCATTTGCTTACCGACTGCAGATTCGCTTAATGACCATGATTGATTTGCTTAATGACCGCCACAAAAAAATTATAAAATTGAGACAAGCAACCTGGAATTAAGGAGAAACTTCCTAACAGTAAGGACGATTAACCAGTGGAACAGCTGGCCTCCAGAAATTGTGGGCGCTCCATCACTGGAGGTTTTTAAGAAGAGACTGGACAGCCAACAATCTGAAATGGTATAGGTTCTCCTGCTTGAACGGGGTTGGACTAGAAGACCTCCAAGGTCCCTTCCAACTTCTATTCTATTCTATTCTATTCTATTCTATTCTATTCTATTCTATTCTATTCTATTCTATTCTATTCTTCATTCCAATATTCTATGTTCTGTTCTGTTCTATTCTATTCTATTCTATTCTATTTTGTTCACCTTTTTAACAACTGGCCTGACTTACAGTTGTAATTCTGGGCTCAGTCACAGTCGTAAATCGAGGATTAGGTCGCTCTATGCCAACTTCTGAAAAGGCTGAAATAAATATCCTAGATTTGGAATGATTAAATGTCGAGTTGTAGGATGATGGATTGATTGATTGATTGATTGGGAGCTTTTTTTCACTCTCTTAAAGGTTCTGGACATCTTGCAGCACATCCAGGCCTTGGACCCGTCCCAGCAAGGAGCAGTGGGGTATTTAGTCCAGCACACCCTCGAGCACATCGAGCGTCGGAAAGACGAGGCCGGTCCCGATGTGAAGCTTCATTCCGACGAGAAACACAAAGACATCACCTTTTCCATCGGCCTGGTTATGAAGCACAAAAGGTGAGCCAGTCCCGCCTGCCCATACGGTTCCCCCAGGATTCTGTAGCTGCAGAAGTAGGAATCAACGTCTGTAGGACCCCCCAGAAAAACCAAACGGTGCAAGATAGGTGTGCTTTGTCAGCCTCGTAAGGTAGACCAGTTCAGGAAAACACATGACCACGTGGGACTCTTATTTTATTTTTTTTTGTTAGAGTAATAAGTAGAAGGAATGAAACAAGAATAATGAATTTCTAAATAGATCTCATCTTTTTGTCGTCTTTTTGTCAATCTATCTGCCTGCCTGCCTGTCTCTCTCTCTCTCTCTCTCCCTCTCTCATTCTTTCTCTCTCCCTCTTTCACTCTCTCTCTCTCCTTCTATCATTCTTTCTCTCCCTCTCTCATTCTTTCTCTCTCTCTCCCTCTCTCATTCTCCTCTCTCCCTCTTTCATTCTCTCTCTGTCTCTTTCATTTCTCTCATTCTTTCTCCCTTTCATTCTCTTTCCCTGTCTCATTCTTTCTCTCTCCCTCTTTCATTCTCTTTCTCTCCCTCTCTCATTCTTTCTCCCTCCCTCTTTCGTTCTCCTTCTCTTTCTCTCTCTCCCTCTCTCATTCTCTTTCTCTCTCCCTCTTTCTTTCTCTCTCCCTCTTTCATTCTTTCTTTCCTTCATTCTTTCTCCCTCTTTCATTCTCTCTCATTCTTTCTCTCTTTCCCTCTCATTCTTTCTCTCTCCCTCTTTCATTCTCTTTCTCTCTCTCTCTCTTTCATCTCCCAACCAACATTCCTTAGAAGACAAACTTTTGAGATAATTGCTTGTCCCTGTTTCTTAATCTCCCAGGACCTCCTCCACCACCCTAGTTTATTTTTATCTTTCTCCCCCACCCCCCCAGCAACTGGGCAGGCTTCCATACGGCTCTGGCCTGCAGCCTTTTCCATCTCTTTCGTTTGCTTAGAATGCTTCTGAAATCTAGCTTGATGCTAAAGTCTTCTGAAAATAAAGGCGCAGCCCAATGCTGATCACCTACTTTCCATTTTGATCATTTTTTTTAAAAAAAAATGTATAGTGAGGTGAACCAGAGAACTTGGTGGGAGCTAAGGGACAATATTGGTGAATGTTGTCTTTGAAATCCCACACTTTTTAAGAGGAGACGATCAAAGGGAAAAATTCTGGCTCCGAACATGCTTTCCTCTCCCTGCTGAACTAACGGGCTTTGCTTCCCGACTTTTGCCCTCTCTTGTAGGCCAACCAAAACAAACAAACCCTTAATAGAATAGAATAGAATTTTTTATTGGCCAAGTGTGATTGGACACACAAGGAATTTGTCTTTGGCGCATACGCTCTCAGTGTACATAAAAAGAAAAGATACATTCGTCAAGAATCACAAGGCACAACACTTAATGATAGTCATAGGGAACAAATAAGCAATCAAATCATATTAGGAAACAATCAATATAAATCGTAAGGATACAAGCAACAAGGTTACAGTCATACAGAGCTTGTCTTCTTGCAGACGGTTCATGAACCAAACTGGGTAATATCATCAGTTATCTAGTACTAGCACTGAGGATGTTAATCAGGGGTGCTATTCAGCAGGTTCTGACAGGTTCTGGAGAACCGGTAGCAGAAATTTTGAGTAGTTCGGAGAACCAGCAAATACCACCTCTGGCTGGCCCCAGAGTGGGGAGGGAATGGGGATTTTGCAGTATCCTTCCCTTGCCACACTCAACAAGCCACTCCCACAGAACCGGTAGTAAAAAAATTTGAATTCCACCACTGAGGTTAACTTAGTTTGGGTCATAAAACATCTGCAAGAAAACAAGCTAAGAGAGCATCAAGGGACCCCCACAATCTTCCTCCCCCTCCTCTTCCTCCTCCAACATGCCAAAGAGTTTTCACCCAAGCAGACATTGCTTACGATGATATTCCGCAGTATCCATCCTTGTTCTCATTACAGAATCTCTCAGCCTGCCTTCAACCATTGATGGCTCTTTCTGCTTGTATAACCCTCTTTCTGCTTCAATGTAGATACGGCTACAACTGTGTGATCTACGGTTGGGACCCAGCGTGCATGATGGGACACGAATGGATCCGAAACATGAATGTCCACAGCCTTCCCCATGGTCCTCACCAGCCTTTCTACAACGTTTTAGTGGAAGATGGGTCGTGCCGATACGCTGCCCAAGGTAGGCCGGCCGTATTTCCAACAAGCTTAGTTATGGTTGCTTATCCACCATTTGAAAGGGGGGGAAATGAATATTAGGGTATTGCTGGGAACACTTTGCTCAAGAGGTTTTGGTCGCCACGATATAAAAAAGATGTGGAGACTCTAGAAAGAGTGCAGAGTAGAGCAACAAGGATGATTAGGGGACTGGAGGCTAAAACATGAAGAACGGTTGCAGGAACTGGGTATGTCTAGTTTGATGAAAAGAAGGACTAGGGGAGACATGATAGCAGTCTTCCAATATCTCAGGGGCTGCCCCAAAGAAGAGGGAGTCAAGCTATTCTCCAAATCACCTGAAGGCAGGACAAGAAGCAACAGATGGAAACTCATCAAGGAGAGAAGCAATTTAGAACTAAGGAGAAATTTCCTGACAGTGAGAACAATTAATCAGTGGAACAACTTGCCTGCAGAAGTTGTGAATGCTTCAACACTCGAAGTTTTTAAGAAGAGGTTGGATAAACATTTGTCTGAAGTGTTGTAGGGTATCCTGCCTAAGCAGGGGGTTGGACTAGAAGACCTCCAAGGTCCCTTCCAACTCTTGTTATTCTATTCTATTCTATTCTATTCTATTCTATTCTATTCTATTCTATTCTATTCTATTCTATTCTATTCTATTCTATTCTGAGGTGACTTCCTCGCAGTTGCCACATTTGCCTGCTCCGCAACGGGCTGGCAAACGTGAGGCTTCTTTAAGGATGTGTTTTGCTCTTGAAGTAAAACTGCCATCATGCAAGAAGTAGACCCTTCAATTTTAAAACGTGTAATCTCAGGAATTGACCTCCGACCCAGAAGCGAAGAGTTGCACTGTCATTCCACATCCAAGACCATTCTTGGGGTCTCCAGGTACATATCATTTCAGTGAAGAAGAATATTCATACTCAAGGTTTGAAATGAGGGGTCCTTGATGCTCTCTGGGCTTGGTTGTTTGTGCACTGATAACGTTACTTAGTTTGGGCAATGAAACGTCTGCAAGAAAACAAGCCCAGACAGCACCAGGGACCCCACAATCATTGTTCCTCCTCTTCCTCCTTTTCTTCCTCCTTTTCTCCTCCTCCTCTCTGCAAACCCCACTCCCTCCTAGCACGGATGATGTTACCTAGTTTGGGTCATGAACCATCTGCAAGAAAACAACCCAGCTTAGAAAACAACCAAGGACCCCTCATATCATTTCAACAGCAGGATTTTTGGTGGTTCCAAATCCACCGATCTGCAGGACCACTTGATGGGATCCAGCAGGGGTTCGTTTTACAGCTAAGGATAGATCCATGTTCCATTCAGTCTCTGCTGCTTCTTGATAGTGCTGGGGAAGCTCCCAGTAACTCCCAATAAACCGGTGTCCACAGTGCTGGTTTAAATGGAAGTTCAGCCCAAGAGAGCTTCCTGCAGAACAGGTTTTGGTAGCAGTTATGGGTGGGTTTTCACATGTGGGGGACTGCTCCTTCTCTCACAGTGGTCACTGCGTCTTCCACGATAAGAATAGCATCAGAAGGAAAACCAATCTGCAGATTTCCTGTTATTTTTTAGTTATTTTGATCTTTTGTCGTTATTTAGCTATTTTTAGGCTTAGAATAAAACAGTTCTCCCAGCAGAGGGCACTGCGTACAATTGTAGATTTTAACTACAAATAGTTTTTCCTCCTATCTGCCTTTCTTCCCTTCGTCGTCGTCGTCCTCCTCCTCCTCCTGCCCCAATAATCTAAACTTGGTCTACAACTCAACTTCGGTTATAGGGCTATAAAAAAATCTCCACCTCCAGGGAAATTACATCGAGGAATCTCATCAAAACACACAAGAGCATAAAAGGCCTCCTCATCGAAATTAAATAGGACAACCACAGCACAGAAACAGGACATGAGAGAAGTATGTGTGGCAGCCACTGAAACATGTAACGATGCAATCTTTTAAGGACACGTGCATGCAGCCATATTCTTTTCCCCCTCCCCTGAGAATTGCCTTGTCCTAAAATTGCTCTTTCTCAGAAGAAAAAAAAACACCCAGCAACCTTTCTGTAAGATGGGCATAACAAATGCAAATATATATATATAATTTTTCAAGAAAAATGAAATTTCAGCAGCCTTGGATTTTATTGAAATATCTGAAGTTGATGGAGAGCAGCAAGCAGAAACTTTTATTTCCCAGAAAATCATGGGCATCAAGTCCCACCCAGTGTCAGCTTTAGAAGCCATATTAGCAACGGAAGCTTCCACGCTGCACCTTCTCGTGTGTGGGAAAGTAAGGGTGGGATTTAGTAGAGGGAATGTAGTTGGACAAAATAGCATTCTTCCTTTCGGTCAAGGTCATGACTGTCCTTGCATCTGGAGAAGGAGTGGTTGGAGTGATGTCTCGAGATGGGACGGATGGTGATTGGACAGTGTGATGAACCAATGGGTGCAGGGGATGGATTTGGGGTTTTTGATTTACTGAGGGGAAAACCCGAAACTCTCAGATTCGGATATTCCCAGATGTGCCAGTATATCTAATAAATGGAACTTTGAGAAAATGCTGGCCTCGGAGGTTTTAATTGAAGTTGGGGTTTCCTGGAATGCTGACACCCAGCTTGGCAAGGTCAAAAAAAAAAAAAAAAAAGGAGGAATTGCATAGATTTCAGGGAGCTGAATTTAATGGCAATGGCACTTAGATTTATATACTGTTTTACGGTGCTTTACAGCCCTCTCTAAGCGGTTTACAGAGTCAGCCTCTTGCAAACCCCAACAATCTGGGTCCTCATTTTACCGGCCTCGGAAGGACAGAAGGCTGAGTCATCCTGGAGCCTGATGAGATTTGAACTGCCAAATTGCAGGCAGCCGGCAGGCAGCAGAAGTAGCCTGCAGTACTGCCCTCTTAAGCACTGCGCCACCACGGCTAACGTACAGGTAGTCCTCGACTTGTGACCAAAATTGAGCCCCAGATTTTTGTTGCTAAGGGAGACATTTGTTCAGTGCGTTTTGCTCCGTTTTATTAACTTTCTTGCCACAATTGTTTAAGTGAATCACTGCAGTTAGTAACATGGTCGTTAAACGAATCTGGCTTCCCCATTGACTTAATCCCATTGAGTTAAGCCGCCCTAAGATTCCTCTCCCTCCCGCTTGGTTGCTTCTCTCTTAAGCCCCTATCCATGACTCTCCCGCCCTTTGTGCAGTCTCTCACTTGTCAGGGGTCCAAGGAACACCCCCAACGAAAGCAAACTCTGAGGGTCGAGGTTCCTCAAAGTTCCATTTTATTAGAGATTATGAAGTTTCCGAAAGATGCCCTAATTAATTCATGAGCCATGAGCCAAACTTCAAAAGAAATACAGTCATTTATTAGGAGCACCATTTCGGCAATATTTGGATGCAGTTTGAACTAATCCCACGTAGATTTACATTCCCCTACGACCCTGTCTCTCCCCTCCGCCCTGGCCATGTCATAAATCACATTCTCCAATTAACCACTTCGGCTGGCTGTGAAACCCAAAACTCTCCTACTGATTGCGGTAGCAAAGCATCTGTGGAATGTAGTTTCAGTTAGGGAAATCAATCAGCTCTGTCAGTTCTCCCTCCCTCCTGCTCATGGCAACTTGAAAGCTTTGCAAGTTGACAGAGATGTCATATTGGCACAACTGGGAAAACCCGAATCTGAAAGCTTCCAGGTTATCCCCACCCAAAGGAAAGTCCAAGTCCCTTCCCCTGCACCCACATGTCCACCACATGGTCCAATCAAAGCACGTCTCAACTGGAGATGCCTCCCGGTTCCAGCCTTCCAGGTGCAGAGCAATATGGCCTTGACTCCTTGAGAAAGGAATGTTATTATGACTATATATCACCCTGGCTCCACACAATCCCCCCTCCCAGTTTCCCACAGTAGTAAATCTGGCAGGCCTGAAGGCCCAATGTAAAAAAATGGCTTTTAGGCATGACATCACTTTCCTTTCCTTTTGCAGAGAATCTGGAACTCAACCCAGAACCTCACGAGATCCCTCACCCGGACATCGGTCGCTACTTCGAGGAGTTTGCCGACACGTACTACGTGGCCAACCCAGAGTTGGAGATCCGATACCCTGAGGATATGGAGCTCACGCGTTCAGCTGGCCAGAAAACGGAAGAGAGCAAAGAATGAGATTTTTTTTTTTTCCCCTTCCATCCCCTTCCTCTTTGCAAGGACAGAAGAAACTTTGCACAGCGGCGGTGGGAATTTCATCACGAGGAAGCTGCTGGTCTGAGGAACTGCATTTTGCTAGCTAGTAGTGAAACATCGTGTTATGTAACCCCCTTGATTGCGTTGTGCTGACACTTGTAAAAAAAAACAAAAAAACCAGTGTGGGTCATGCAAAGTTTAGAAACCCACCTCTGAAAGTTCCTTCCCCCAAAATGAAGAACTTCTGAGACTTAAAAAAAGTTCTCCTTCTGGGAATTTTTGAACGACCTGCAAATGGAAGCCGTGGATAATTTCTAGGTAGAGCTTTTCTGGAACTAACACAACATCTGTCTTGGTTCAACTGTGACCAGCAGTGAGGTGCCAAAACCTTAGGAATGACATTTGATGCTTCCTTACTCAAAGATCTAGAAACATTTGTCAGGAACTCTCTCCACTGCTTCAGGCCAACAACTCAAATTTTAAAAAAAACCTGCACTGGGTGATCGTTGTCATTATTTTTTTTCCTGCAGGTTTCTTGGATTCACATTCCATCACACAGACCCCATGCCACCTCGGTGATGAAGCTGGAGATGAGCATCATTCTCCTTTCGTTCTGCTCGTTTGCTTGTTGCTCACTCCATTTTAAAAAAAAGGATAAAACAGCGAATTTCTCAAACGTAACGCTGGGAGGAAAAGAAAGCACCGAAGGACGTAGCGTTAATTGTCTAAAATTTCCTTTTCTCAGGGAAAAAAAAAAAATAGGAGCCAGTTTGATTTGCAAGCCCTTCTGGCAAGAAAGAACTGATCATGCTTTCATCGGTTGTTGTAAATAATATATTTCCAGGCTGTGGAATATGTAATTTCTGAATTGGTGGTGTCTGGGCGTAATGCCGCTGACACTGGCTGGATTGCGCGTTTTAGGGGCAGAGGAGGTAAGCTTTTAATTATCACATTGTAAAGGATAAAATGATACGCTTCTTGGATCCCAAGTCCTGAATGTTGCTGTTTTGTAGCGGTGAAATTGTTATTTTCAGGATCACCTCCTTCATTTGCATGCTGTGTTTTCATACACTTCGGCAAGCGCATTTCCCTGTGAAGTTTAGTGTTAACCTACAGGGAGTAACAGCTTAGAGGTTCGAGTTAGGTTGTCGCTCTAGGAACACGCGTGCACCCTTCGACGTGCCTACAGGTAGTCCTCAACTTACAACCGTAACGGAACCTGCCCATCATGGTCATAAGTCATAATAAGACATATTCCGAAGAGAGAGAGAGAAGTTACCTGAGGATGGGCTCCCAACACGAGGCCCAAAACTTGGAAGGATTTTTCTTTTTTTGCTTTAATTTATATGCCGCCCTTCTCCGGAGACTTAGGGCGGCTTACAGTGCGTTAAGCAATAGCCTTCATACTTTTGTATATTTATACAAAGTCAGCTTATTGCCCCCACAAACCGGGTCCTCATTTCACCTACCTTAGAAAGGATGGAAGGCTGAGTCAACCTTGAGCCTTGGTGGGATTCGAACCATCAGTAATTGCAGGCAGCTGGTCTTAATAACAGTGCTTTAATCCACTGTACTACAGGCTAAACCTTTGGTCCCGGTGACCGTCTCGGATTGGATCCTACTGTCAGGGTTCCAAGTAATACACCCATAGCAAACAAAACTCTGAGGCAGGTAGATTCCTCAAAAGAATAGTTTTATTGGCTATATCATATTGGCACGGTTCTGGTGAAAACCGACTCTGAAGGTTCCTGTGGTTTTCACCTAATTAAAAGTCTGTCCCCAGTCAGTCAGTCACTCACATGGTCCAATCACGGTGCTGCCCAGTTGCCTGGTAACGTCACTCCTCCTCTCTCTGACCAGGTGTGAGAATGTTCTTGGTTCCCAAGAGAAAATATTTTGTTTTGGCTACAAAACCCCAGCTATCTCTATTCCTCCCCTCCCTCTCCCCTCAGCTCCAGTGTGGCAACACTAAACGGCCTCGGTCAGGTCAGCTTCAGGGTTGACACCTGGCAATAAGTCATAAAGCAGGTCATCGCGCGACCAACCCAATTTTTACGGCCTCTTGTGTGCTGTGATCATCACCATGGTGGTTAAATGAGCCCATTCTGCACGGTGGGGCATTTTTGCCGAAAACCAGAAGTAAATGCTTGTTTTCAGCAAACACGTCAATTGCAATCATGTGGACAAATCCCCCCCATCCTCCAGGACACTGTGTAAATGATTGCCCACCACCCAAAATGCAGGTGCAGGGAAGGGACTGTCCATCGGAACTTCAGAACCCAGGATGTAAAATACCTTTTGGGAGGTCCGACGTAAGCGAACGATCGTAAGTGGAGGACTACCTGTAGATCTTTGGATCGCGGTGGTGGAGCCGAATCCACTGGTGGATTGCATCAGACTGACATAATTATCTCTCGCAGCGGCAGCCGCCGACGGGGTTTTACCTCCCTTGAGACGTGAGCCCGTGCTGACTCCCAGGCGTTGTCTGAATCGTCCTGCGAGAGCCGACGAAGCTCACCGCCGAAGTCGCAGAAACCTGGGGGGGGCGGGCTGCGAAGACCACCCTTCCTTAAAAGCCGATTGCAAAAGCCAAATGGGAAGAACTAACCAACCTATGCAGTTCACGCAGCCCAGCCCTCTCCGTTGATTTTCGAGGGGCTTTAGCAATACACAAGTCCATATTTTAGCAATACGCGGTCTCCCTTGTCGATGGGGAGACGGTGCGGCTGAGAAACGAACCACAAAGCTGCCTCAGCCTGCACCCTTCAGCCTGCAGCTGGCTGTGGGTCCCTGTTATCCCTAGTCAGATAACCTCAATCAGAAGTATTTTCATTTCCCCCCTCTCGGTTGTTGTAGATCTGATGCATGCCTGTCCCTCTCCTAAACTTTTATTATAATTTTTTTCCTAAAGCGCTTGGAATTTCTCCTTCATCTGAATGGTGCTATATAAATCCATCTCTCTCTCCCTCTTCCTGTTTCGTTCTCTTTCTCCCTCTCTCTCTCTCATCTATTTATTATCTATCAAGCATTTTGAAGGTATCGAAAAAAGCAGACTTTGTACAGCCCATCAATCCCGTATGCAGTTTTGAACGTAAAATGCACTTATTTATTTTTTAGGAGAGTTACAAATGTAAGAGATTTGTTTCTCTCCTTCCCTCCCTCTTTCCCAGCACTTCATGGTATTTCTGGAATAAAATGACACCCTTTTCAGCTTGTAACTGTGGCATATTCTTTCTAATATAAAGCCATTTCTTTCCTTGGGCGTTTTCTATATCTTGAGTTAGGCAGAAGTCAGTGGGAAGCCCTCCTCATAAAAACACTCGATAGCTGTGATTACCAATTTATGAAATTTGAATCCACGGTAATTGTTAAGGAACATTTGAACTGACTGTCACTGACTCTCAAAAAATACTTTTTGAAATGATGTATAATGATATTTTTCTAAAGGAGATAGAAAACGGGTTTTGGCTCCAAGCCAATTTGGAATTAATTTCCTTTCTGTCCGCCTTCAACCAAATCCCAACTGTTCTGGAAAAGCTCTCAGCTTTTCTCTTAAAAAGACAACACATTTTGTACATTTTTTTCTTGGATCACTTCATATTCCCAATCTGCACTCTGCTCCTGAAAATAAGCAAGTCTCAAAATATTTGACCCCTGGATTCCATAACAGTAGCTAAATCTTCTTTATCCATAAAAATAACTTGAACGTGTAATATAATATTACACATTCAAGAGGGAAAAAAGCATAAAAATTAAACTTAAGATTGTTGCCTGACCTTTAATATTTACTTATTTGGAAAAATTATATTGCTGCCTACTCAGTCACAGCAACTGAAGGCACCTTACAGGAAATAAATATAAAAGAAAAATGGCAACAAAGGTTATCTATCTTTTGTAGGGACACAGCGGCTCAGTGGCTAAGTTGCTGAGCTGTCGATCGAAAGTTCGGGAGTTCAGCGGTTCGAATCCCTAATGCCGTGTAACGGGGTGAGCTTCCGTGACTTGTCCCAGCTTCTGCCAACCTAGCAGTTCGAAAGCACATAAAAAAATGCAAGTAGAAAAATAGGGACCCCCTTTGGTGGGAAGGGAACAGTGTTCCGGGCGCCTTTGGTGTTTAGTCATGGAGGCCACATGACCACAGAGACATCTTTGGACAGTGCTGGCTCTTCGGCTTTGAAACTGAGATGAGCACCGCCCCCTAGAGTCGGGAGCAAGTAACACATATGTGCGAGGGGAACCTTTACCTACCTTTTAAAAATGGGCTTCTTCATCCTGTTCTGGGTTCCCCAGGCCCGTTGGCAGAATGACATCTTCAGGGTCTTCAGAAAGAATGTTAAGAGTGGGGACCAGTCTTAATTTCCGGAGGGATGATGTTCCAGGAGGAGGGAGCCACCACGGAGAAGGCCCTTCTTCTGAGTCCCGCCAGATGTATCTCCTTTGGGGATGGGACCCCGCAACATTCCTTGCCTCCCCGCTCTAGTGGGTTGGGATGTGACACTTATATTTGGAATCATATTGCATTGAGTTTAGGGGGACTTTCTCCCGAGCATACGAGCAGGTGCATGACCGAAGAGTAGCCTGTTACATGAATGGACTGGCTGTTTCAGCAGTGACCAACCTGATGTCTCAAGGTTTGTGCTTCAGGTATGAATGCCCCAAATTTTCCCTCTTCTTCCTCAGATAGACTACCTTTTGAAGTGATCGTCTTATAATCGTGATGTCCATGGAAATTCTCAATCATCCAAGTCATGGTTGTCCCAAAGATGCTTTTTCAAAAAGGCAACTGGACTTTTCTTGGTGGTGGTTGTTTTTCCTTGAAAACATTTCGCTTCTCATCCGAGAAGCTTCTTCAGTTCTGATTTCAGCACCTTTGGGATTGTAATCATGACAATCTGTCCGCCATAAACATAACAGCGTCTAACTTTGTGTGCTGAGTTTATTGATTAAATCCAGCTGCTGTATTTATTCTGGATCTCAGTTTCTGACTGGTCCCTGCCAGACACTTCAGGGAAGCCCAGGTAAGGGCCTGGTCCCTTGTACCCAGCTCACCATTTGATTTCCGACAGAGGTTTTGGACTCAATTGTGGTCCTAAGTCAAGGACCACCTGTAGTTGCACCTGAACTTGCCCTGATCTCAACGGAAACTGTAAGGCAAAAGTTTGCAAACCAAGGAACCAGTTTGCAAACCAAATGTTTGGGACCCAGAATCATCTTACTCTTGCACCCCAGCTGTTCTCAGCTGTTGAAATCATTAGCCCGCGTTGCAGAAGGTGAGTCGTTCAGGAGAAAAGTGGGGTTCCTGGAGTGGGTGGTGGAAATTCATAATCAGCTTTGGAAATTACTGGTGCAGAAATGTTTTGAGGGTTTATTTTTCTCTCAAGCTGAGCCGTGAATCAAAGCAGCTCATTTCGACGTCATTAAAATTGCTTTGAAATTAACACTGACATTTTCTCGACACCCTTGATTGAGCCTTCGACAGCCGAAGCTTCAAGTTCTGGTTTATGACAAGCTTGGAACGTGAGTCAGCAGCGAAATGCGGCGGCCAAAACAAGAACCTAACTCAAGTTTCCAAAACGTGGGAAGCACGGTAACTGTTCCTGTACATTTTCCCCGTTTTAACAGAACCAGTTCAAGTGCGATGGCCGATTTCTGAGTGCCGCATTTTCAGAAACATCGAGAACAACTGGAAAGTGCACTCGGAAAGTCATAAAACTCGGAAATGCAGAAAGATTGAAGAAATGCCATACGCTAAATAAATTCAGAAAAATGGTCTAGAGAAAAGGAGGACCAGGGAAGACATGATAGCGATATTCCAGTATTTGAAAGGTTGCCACAGAGAAGACGGGGTCAATTTATTGTCCAAAGCACAAGAAGGCAAGACAAGAAAGAACGGATGGAAACCAACCAAAGAGAGAAGCAACCTGGAATTAAGTCACCAGACGTTGTAGGTTCTCCATCACTGGAGGTTTTAAAGAAGAGATTGGACAACCAATTGTCTGAAATGATAGAATCTCCTGCTTGAACAGGGGGCTGGACTAGAAGACCTCCAAGGTCCCTTCCAACTCTGATATTCTATGTTCTACAACAGAGGTCTTCAAACTTGCCAGCTTTAAGACTTGTGGTCTTCAACTCCCAGGAGTTGAAGTGCACAAGTCTTAAAGCTGCCAAGTTTGAAGACCTCTGTTCTGCAACCTCCAATGCCTTGCACACCTGTAGCATGGCTGTTTCAAATGTTTTCAGCCAAGCTGGTTAATGGAGAGGTTGAGAACGTAAGATCTTTTTGTGGGTGACATGATAGCAGTCTTCTAGTATTTGAGGGGCTGCCACAAAGAGGAGGAGGGGGTCAATTTATTTTCCAAAGCAGCAGAAGGCAGGACAAGAAGCAACAGATGGAAACTAATCCAGGAGAGAAGCAAGCTAGAACTAAGGAGAAACTTCTTAACAGTGAGGACAATTAACCAGTGGAACAGCTGGCCTTCAGAAGTTGTGGGTACTTCATCACTGGAGGTTTTTAAGAAGAGATTAGACAGTTACTTGTATGAAATGGTATAGGTTGATTTCCTGCTTGACCAGGGGGCTGGACTAGATTTTCCAGCTCTATTCAGGTTGGGTTGGGTT